TGTTACAATCATTTTGTTGAATACTTATAAATGACTTGATATTTTTCGTGTGCAGAATAGTGGGAGGATTGGCTTTACAAAACCTGATTTCAGTCACTCAATATTTTCCTATGGACAGTGCCTACATTAAGTTGAGGAATATGACAGTCATTATCCACGTTTATTAGTGTGTTTGTCTTCAAATGTCAATTTCCGATTAATTAATATTGTGGTAGAGAAAGTATATTTTTACATTTCCCCTGAGCGGTAAGTCACTGGAATTGAATTCAACCTTGTGCATTCATTGAAGATGCCCGTCCGGATTAGAAGCCAAATCACGATATTCTAAATGTTTCCACAGTTTAGAAATTCAGGACTTTGAGTTATGTGTAGCTGGTTACACAAATATTGGCAGAGCGGAGCACGATTTAAAAAATGTCTCGTGAAATCCCTCTTGAAATGGTCCTGCTGTGAATTGATTGAATATTGTTAATTGTAAAGGGGTAAATAATTTGTTTATCGCTGCGGCCCATTGCTTCACTAGAACTTGATTGATTGTACAATGTATAATGACAATGACGGTGCAAGATAATAATGTTGACGTTTATAGATGTTCATGAAAAAAATGCAGTTACATACATTCTTTTAAAGGTTTCGTGTTCTTAAATAGGGTCAATAGGCACGTTTATTCTTTCACTTTGTTTTACGTTTTGTGCAAACAGCATTTGTTCGTAATAAGTGTCCTAAGAAGTTTCCATCAACATTTGAAGAATCGGGTTTTACTTTCCAATATAAAAATAATGAGATGTCGTATGATTGCCAATGAGACCACTATATGCACTAGCGACAAAATGAGTAGGATGTAAACAACTATATATATCACCGTACGACCTTCAACAATGCACAAAACCTAAACCGTATAATTATATAGTATGAAAAAATGTGAAACACGTCAAAAGAGAAAAACCATCCGCCTGATTTATGCTAAAACAATATAGCACGGGATCATAAAGAACGTGGCGTGTTGTGAACGCTCAACCCCCCTCCTCCCAAGGAATAAACTGTAAAAATAAGTTAAAAAAGGCTTAACTCATCAGACAACACAAAGCACAAACAAAACTCAAACTCTAACAAAAAGACAACAAAAAAAAAAAAAACAAGAAAAAAAAACCAGGTACCGACCTAAGAGTAATCGCAGTTACTGATAGCTAGTTCAACTCATAAATAAAGCATGTTTTCCCAGACTAAAAAATCAATCAGTCCACAATTTACAATAAAGTTGTATAGTTTTACAGTCACTACGTTTTTCATTATATTACACAGCTGAACAATTTTAAAAACATATTTTACATATTGTAATCGCAGTACTTTTCGCTTAACCTATCAATAGTTGTTAATATACCATCTCTCTAGGATTAGGTCATTTTAGTAAATTATAAACATATATAAATGTCACTGACTTCTCTCAATAAATTAATCCTCTTTTATAAATTCAAAATTGTGGAAAAGTATTTATAATAAACAGTTTTTGATGATAAGTTTATCGCCAATGAATTGTGAAAATAGGTGTGCACAAAAATATAATTTTAATTTGTTTTTTCGTCATTTTAACGATGATCTATCCCATTTTGCTCGCTGCTGCCGAGAAAAGGCAATAATGACTAAATATTACAAAAAAAATATTTGTAATAAATTTTAAACACTTGTAGTCCAGTTGGGTCAACCGAAAATAATTCGGGATATTAGCGGTTTCCCCCACCTTTTTATAAATAGTGTTGAAACATCACAGAATCATGTTTTAATAACAATTCAAAGATGCCATTGAAATTAAAGTAATTTATTAAACTAAATTATTGAATGACGCAAAATTTATGGACTATATAAGTCGTATGTATTGAAAGGTTTTCGCAGAACATTCAGAAATATGGACCTACAAATCCTTGTTTTATTACTAACATCATGTATTGCTATTGTCCATGCTCAGCTGAAAGGTAAACTGTTCCTGAAACTTTAATTTAATTCATATGGATTTGTTTTTACATTTTGTAAACGGAACATATTTTATTAAAAACAAAACAAAAAATAATCTGTTTTCTTACACTATGTTTGTTCAATGAAAGAATACTGTACATTTAAAAAAAAATAATTGTCAGCTAGTTTAGTTACATATATAGACATGTAGATAGACATGACTACTGCAGCTAGTAATCATCACTATTCTGTTACAGCAAAACTGTATATAGATTTAAAACATGATAATAGAAAATGAATATTAGAAAGGAAGTTATTTTCTTTTTACAGAGGACATTTGGGATCCTTTACCTAAAGCATTAGAACCAGATAGTGCCGAAGAAATGCTTTCAGACATTGGCAATTTACTGTACAGACATAATGGAAGAAAATGTAAGTGTGACAGAATACATATCCTCCATACATTGGTTGTCTTAGATGTATTTAGTTTACAAAGAATTAATAAATTACCATTTTTTTTTCTAGCGATAAAATGTCGTCGATAGAAAATTATTCGATGCCGTTACACCTGTTTTTACAAATCAATTTTAAAAACTATTAAAAATGAAATCTAAAAATGTTTAAATGACAAAACCGGCACATTTACTGATCAAAGCATATATTTCTATGTGAATGTTATTCATATGTCTTAGTGCTCCTGCTTTGAATCAATGCGACATTTCTGAACGAAAAGAAGTTAAGCTTTTGAACACGAAAATGGAAGACAAACCGGTCGAACTATCTGAAAATATTACTAGTAAATTCACACCAAGGCTGATAACACATATCAGCCCTATGACGTAATGTCGCGTAGTCAGGCTGATATAGGGAATGATACCCTAGCCGATATGGAAAAGGCCATATAATAATCTGTATGTAAATAAGTACATTTCTATTTTGCAGTTCAACACTTAAATTCAATAAAAAAGATGAACAATCCTATGTAATAACGGTTTCTTTAATGCATGATATATCTCTTTTGATTTTATGTCACATCTTTCTATTGGACATATGCTTTGTCTTTTGGTAAGTAAGTGTGTCGTTGGGATGCTGTCTCGTTGACGTATACATACATCTCTGTTCACACTTGTATATGTTTTCTGTTTATCTTACAGCTCAGGCAGCAACAAACGGAAAACATGAAAACAAAGACGAGCTGTCTTCAAGAGCAGGCGTATGTAAGTATATAATTGTGTTAAACTCCATAACGTTTTGATATAGACATTAGCATTAATGAAGAATTTTGAAATAGTTTTAACGGGGTTTCTTTTTCAGATTTGGGGAACGGTACTGATGTAAGATAGTAATATACGGAGAAGATGTAATAATATCGTAGTCAATTTGACAAATATTTCGGCACAACGAATAACCTTCTTGAGTGTGAATGTCTCTACCAATTGGTACACCTTTTATATATATGCATTAACGAAAAGAGCATTTTTATCATAACTATATATATTTATTTTTATCTTTACTCTTGTGATATTTTTCGTTGTTTTGTTTTTAGATCGGCATTACTTATGCAATAATGATAATAGATTCGTATTCTGTAACTGGCCAAAGAAAATGAATGTCCTGATAGGGCATTGGGGAAGATCAAGCCATACCATATGTCATCATGGCAATATCGACCAAAACGGTTGCACTAAAGACGTAACTTTCAAGCTAAAAAAAGTATGCGATGGCTCTTCGTGGTGCCGAGTAACGGCAAGCAATGCATTTTTTGACAATCATGATCCATGCGGTGGAAACCCCAATTATCTCAATTTCACCTACGAATGTATCGATACAAAAGGTAAGCCATCTGTTACTCTGGATTAAAGGATATGTGAGTAAGCGTTGAGGATACAGCTTTCCACAAATTAACAAGCACACACATCAAAGGTCTACATACAGTCTTAAACAATAGACAATTATCTGTAACATATGTCAAGCTCTTCCACAAATAGACAATTATCTGTAACATATGTCAAGCTCTTCCACAATAGACAATTATCTGTAACATATGTCAAGCTTTTCAACAATAGACAATTATCTGTAACATATGTCAAGCTCTTCCACAAATAGACAATTATCTGTAACATATGTCAAGCTCTTCAACAAATAGACAATTATCTGTAACATATGTCAAGCTCTTCCACAATAGACAATTATCTGTAACATATGTCAAGCTCAATTATCTGTAACATATGTCAAGCTCTTCTACAATAGACAATTATCAGTAACATATGTCAAGCTCTTCCACAATAGACAATTATCTGTAACATATGTCAAGCATTTCAACAATAGACAATAATCTGTAACATATGCCAAGCTCTTCAACAATAGACAATTATCTGTAACATATGTCAAGCTCTTATACACCTGAATATATAGATAACTGACAAGGCTTCTAACTGCCTCTTTTGTTCAGATGGGACAGACTTCATGAGGACTTTCTCGAAGAGTGAAAAGAAACTGGCATTTTCTTGTTATTTAACGTTCAGCTATGTTGATGATGTCCTCTAACTTTATAATTTAAAGTTTGGTGACTATGTAGATCGCATTGGATATGTCTTAAATTATAGTTTAAGCAAAGATTATTATCATAGTAAAATACTCAGATGGGATGAATACATTTCATGTTACTGCATTAGAATTTTGAATAACACCGAAATTCTTGTTAATGCTAGTTTTGAGTAAAATGTTAATTACTAAAACATATTTTGATGACATTTCTTCCCATTTGCAAAACTATTCTTTTTTTCCTTTCTTTGTAGAAAAAAAATATCATTTATTTCTTCTTGTTTAATTGTTTTAAATGTATACCCCATTTAGAGCTTTTGCATACTGACGTTTGTAACATGCAGGCTATTCTTGTAATCGAATGTCCCCTGAAATAAGTGGATCATGTTTCAAAATTAATATGAATTAAAGAAAAAATGAGATTCAAATATAATTATTGTATTCAAATTCCAGACACATGTAAAGATAATTCATTTAAATGTACCAATAGCAAGAGTTGCATCCCCATGTCTAAAACGTGTGATGGTTTACACAATGATTGTGGAAATGGTGACATCAGTGACGAAGAACATTGTGGTATGTATAATCAACGGTGGAAATAAATGTTTAGAGTAATTGCTTTGGCGGATTATTTATTCTCCTTGGGTAAGCATGTGGTGGGCCTAGTTACTGCATATTGAGGGATAGGGATGAGCCGCTGGAATAGGCCTTTTTATGCTTTATAATATATATGATCATATAAGGTTGTACAATTGAGATGAACTTTATGATATTCTACATTACAAATGTTGATATATGTATCCACCCTCCTCATATATTCACAACTATTGATACATGCATGTCAAACATCGTTTACTAATCTCATATTATTATTTTTTATCTATATATTTATATCATCAAGTTGTATTGTCACCTTAGATTGACATGCCTTTAAATGATCTACCTTAACAAGAAAGTCATCGCTATTCCACCATTTGCATGTTATGATATATAATTATTATTTTATAACTATACTTAAGGGACAATAAAATCGAAAATGGGAATGGGGAATGTGTCAAAGAGACAACAACCCGACCAAAGAGCAGAAAACAGCCGAAGGCCACCAAAGTACACTTTTATAGATCGGTAGTAGAGAACCCTACTCAAATCAGTATTAATTTTTCGGATTTGCACTCGAAAGTAATCAAGTTGATTTGGTTGTTAGCTGCAAGTTTGCAGTCATGGGGATCATTATGTCTGCACAAGCCAATTGCCGTTTTCTCTTTCATATAAAGTTAAAATAAGTCAAAACCATTAAGATTTTCTATACCAAGCAAATATTACTATAGGTGAATGTGACACACCTCTTTTGGAGTTTTGGTTTTCAATGCTCTTCAACTTCGTATTTGTTTTGACTTCCTAATGTTTTGATTCGGTCGCCACTGACGATGCTTGTGTAGATGAAACATTATAAACTTGATATTTTAGGTTATTTTTATCTTTGCCTGTGACTGAAATTGACGATCATTAATACAATGGGTGTTGCACTCAACTGGTGAATATCCACTATTTGTTACAAATCGACTTGCATCGCTAATCGGTTTGTTTTTTTCTTCACAAAAAAACGAGTAATTATGATGCGGAATTTTCAAAATTTGTTCTAGTAACCCCTATGGCCGATCATTAGATATTCACGCTTACCTGAATTTTGATTTGTTTTTCTCCCACGTTTTATATGAACTGTTTTTCTCGTCAATACATTAGAATCAGACCTAAAAATTTGAATTTGTAATTGTTTTTAATATTTATGTAATGGCATGTATGTCTTATGTTTTCGGCCAAATAAATATATATTATATATAATTACATTATTTTTAAAGAAGCTGAAAGTAATTGACAAACGAATAAGATCAACTGAAATCAACATCGTTGATCAATTCTGAACTTTATTGTGTTAATTCATATCACTTTATCAAACTGGAAATGTGTAGTTTTTCCTTAATACTTATTATACATGATTTTTTTAAGATGTTATAAAAGATAAAACAACAACAACAGTTACTACAACCACACCAACTACAACTACTACCACGCCCACAACAACAACTACCACGCCTACAACAACAACTACCACGCCTACAACAACAACTACCACACCTACAACAACTACTACCACGCCTACAACAACAACTACCACGAGTAAGTATTGAGTGGACAGTTTGATGGTAAAACAAACTATCACAAATTCGTCATTTCAATCCTATATCAATCTATGTGCATTTTGTGACAAACACTTTGCCTTGACCGAAGCTTAACATAATATTACTCAACTGGTATTTTGCAGTAGCCAATATACCGGCATTGTTATGTTCGTCTGGATTTTAACATGGCATGTTTCATAACAGATCCTTGATCAGTCCTAGGTCACAATATCATCCCGGGAACAGGCTCAAGGACCGACATTTGAATTTGAAAGTCATTTGGTACATGTATGAATCTGATTATAAAAATATCTAAAATACGTTTTTATTCATATACTCCGAACAAATGGGAAATAATTTTATTATGGTTTTTTGGTTTTCTGGCGGCACGGCAAATACGATAATGTAAAAGCTGATACCATGAACTAAAAGGAAAATGCCATGTACCAATAAATCTGTATCGTACTGAAAGAAATTCCTTTAAACAATGTACCTGATAAATTATGTTAACAGTATGGTAACATAGAATAGAGGTCAAAGAGATGAGGATAGTAACATTCGATGTATGCGAAAGACACTCAGTCTGGCATGTAAGATATTTTCCAGATGTCCACCGTAGTTTACCGAATTAAGGCATTACACCATTTAAAAGTATATGGGTAGAAAGGGGGTGGTTGGGAGATAAAAATGATAAGTTGGAGAAAACAGACAACATTATGACCAAAAACACAAAAATTGTCAGAAAGAGCCAACAGTTCCTGCTCCGCTAGTGATCTTGTTTCATATTGAATACATGTATATATATGGGATACGAATCAGAATATTTATTTATTACAAATTATTATTTCATTACATTGTATACATCAATGGGAATATACCGATTATTTACATGTCTTCATATTTTAAACTTAGCTCTTTTATGTGATTACAAGGCTAAAATGAAAAGTTCTTCAAATTTTCGTGAAACAATCATAATAAAATAGTTTTGTTTTTATTAAATTGTGAAAAAATGACATTAATTTTTATCATTAAAAAAATAATAATCCTGATCTCGTTGAACTATTTATTTGTTAACAGCGGAAGAACAGGTCTGTTGCATATCTGTTTTTGTTTTCCGTAATTTTGTTTTTATCACTGTCTTTCCAGAACCACCTCTTGTCACTTGTGGTGTACCTGTTCATCCTGCTGTAATCGACAGAAGTCTTGTTTCGCGTATTGTAAATGGAACAGAAGCTGTAGAACACAGTTGGCCATGGCAAATACAGTTACGACTTTCTGGCGAACACAAATGTGGAGCTTCTATAATTAATGAAAATTGGGTTGTAACAGCTTCTCATTGTTTCTTTTTGTAAGTGGGTTTTCATAATCAGTTGCAATTTCCGTAACCCTTGCCCAACTGAACGATGATTTGCTACAAACTATTTCTATCTTTTGAATTTTGTTTTACCTTTATCTTCCATATATAGACATCTATTGAAGAGAAACATACTTATATAAGCTTTTCCTATCTCCGATTTTTGTTGGTTTCTCTTGTATATTTGTCATCTGTGCGCTCTTGAAGACAATATTGTTTCAACTAATAAAGAGATACAATTTCGAATTCATGTTGCCGGAATTGATAAAAAAAATATTTCCTATATCAAATGTAACTCAGTATGACTTTTTGACAAATTGAAAAACTGATTTAATATATAGCTAGCCCAGTTTTGAAACCTCGTCTTTCGGTCTAATTTATATTGCACTTTTTGTAGTCAGTTCTGAGTTGCTCAAAATACTAGCGCATTACAGGTTAGAGTATGATACCGATTACAACTTGCGCTTGCTATGGCGCATGGAATACCCATCACGAGTACGCTCGAGGGTTCACAAGGCTGGATAGATAAAACGTCTGTGACCACCCTCATTGTATTTCACATCCACCCTAAGTCAGCATATGACCTTTACCGTACCGTACATATAGAAATGTATTTGACTAGTCATTAAAACATATTATAAACTACCTTAAACCTAGTTGAAACCTAGTCGTAACAGCTTGACATTTCAGAAATGTCGTCAGACTATTTTTTAAATTTCTTTGGTCTATATTTGTTATTTAAGCGATGAAGACATTACGCACTGGAAAGCATATGCTGGGAAACACAACAAAGATGGTAACGATCCAACTCAAGAAGCACGAAATATTACAAAACGAATTCGATATGAAATTACTGGTAATAATCCTTTAGATGGCGATATATCTCTACTGAAACTGGACAGCCCACTAAGGTAAACATATAATGTCATAGTAACCTCTACATACATATACACTGTAAGTGAGAAATAATTGTCCTGTCTTAAGGCTCATGCCAAGGGATCTTTTTTCAGCGAAGTTAAAGGGGAGGAAGTGGGTACGATAATGGCAAATCATTGCATTACAATTGAAGTAAAAATTATGATTTAAATATACTGATTATTAAATCTCCGAAGCTGGTCGAAATACCTTATCAGTTGCCACTTGACCCAGCCTATTGGTAGCATTTACAAACTACTAATGTTTTATTTTAGTTTGGCCTCTCTTAATCCCTTAAATGATTTAAAAATCGCTTTGAAGCTTCATTATCACACCGGGTCTCCCGATCTGAAACCGTGGATGGATCGGAATCACAAGGAGCAAAATGTAACGATGAGTTATTAAAATATGGATCTGATTCCCACTGAGAATTATGCTCCATGGGAATCGGATCCAGATTTTACTTACCCATCGTTTCTTCATTATTCAGAAAACACAGTGCCGGATCCAGAAATTTTCATAAGATGGGGTCCACTAACTGCCTAAGAGGGGGCACGCTCCAGTCATGCTTCAGTGATTCCCTATATAATCAACCAAATTTTTCCCACAAAAAGGGGGTCCCGGGCCCCCTGTCCCCCCTAAATCCGCCTCTGAACTGAGCAAAAACTAAGACGCTCAAAGTTTCGTTTGTGAGATTTGAATGTATTCAAATAAAGAAACTTTGTTTTCAATACATAATAAAGCACATAATAAAACAATACTTTACTATTGACATAATAGGAAAATCTTACATATAATCTTGGATAAAAAGATTAATTATGAGGTAAGAAAATCTTAAAAGATATAAATGATATCGGGTAGCGTCTTATTTAAAACCTTCAACAAAACTCTTAAATAAAAAAAAACCACAATAATACGGCAATGTCTTCGAAAACTGAAAACCAATAACGAAAATTGGTACAAAGAAAATAAGATATAAAGGCAATAACAGTCAACTTTCTTTCAAAACAATTCCCAAAGCTATAAACATGTATCTTAGAGTTGACACAATCATATTTAGACGAATATAATAAAAGCATATTTATGTGACTGCAGAGTAAGAATTTATCATCTTTTACAACTGACATGATGTACTGTGCTTTAAACAGAAGTAAATCTGACGAGGAAATGCATCACTCGACTAACGAAAGCTTTATTTTTATGTAGCTTAGTTGGCCGAGTGAATATATATAAACCAACAGTGTAGTATATCCACATAAAATATATTAAAAAAGGTCTCATAGCTATTTTAACGAAATAAAAGAAGTGATTAAACGGTAAAAATGACAACTTATTTCATCAAGGAACCAAAGATAAAATACATTTTTACTATAATAGATAAATTAAATAAGAAGGAAACGTATATACCTGAATAACTAAAATGATTTCCATGACAATTACAGATTCACTGAGGCAGTCATGCCAGTATGTCTTCCATCAAGAGAAACACGAGTCAGTGATAGTTGCTGTGTAACAGGATGGGGGGATGTGCAAGGTAACTAAACGAATAGTAAAAAAATATTGCATTACATGTCTATTTTACAAAGTATTCAAATTATTCAAAAAGTTGAATGAAATTTCACGATTGCAGTATCATGTATATTCATTTCAACTTATCTTGATTAAGTGCTGTACAAAATGCCGTAATCAACAAATTTGGTACAAAAAGTACGAATAAGGATTAAAATAAAATAACCACTATAGCAAACAACAATCCACACTAAAGATCACCAATCCTACTTAAATAAACAAGTTACACTGTTGACGTACCAATCTCGTTCTGTTTGACGTTACTGCGATTCTGTAAGTTTTTTTTTCTAAGTTTGTATATTCAAGGTGAATTTACGAGTTTTAAGCATAATAGAAGCAAGTTTAATTTAAAAAAAAAACAGGAATAACGTTACTGTTTTATGATTTTATATACAGTTCAAAAATAATATATATATTTATATCAAAACTGTTCATTATATATAGGGACAGGATTTGCAGACAAATTAAAACAGACAGAAATGCCATTTGTTGACAAAGAAAATTGTTCAAAAGTTGCGGCATTAAAGGACCATTTGACGAACAATATGATATGCGCAGGATTCCCCGAGGGTGGTAGAGATGCATGTCAGGTACATTTTCAACTAGTATAACTTGATACTTAAAATACTCCGTGTTCACTATCTATGAATTGAACAGTCCAATACGTGCATGCCTTCATATTATCTTTATTAGACACGTATTTAGTAGAAATTAAATATCTAAAAAAAGAGTATACTTGTGTCTATTGGATAAGATAGATAGATTTAGTTGCAAGATTTGCTAGCATGATTTATACAAAAAGAATCACTTATAAATTGTATAAAGAAAGCATTATCTTCATATTGTATATGTCTAATAAATCGTCGTTTGTGTCATTGTTCTTCAACATGGTTGCTATTTTCAAAGAAAAGGGATTGTAAGAATGTACCACATGACCGCTATTATATGTATGTTATCACCTGAAAGGCAACTCTACTGAGCTTTTGTCGCCACGTTGCATCGTCACTCAGCATTCTCCTATGCACTTAATCAGCCAATTTAAACTTGAAAGATCAAGGTTGAGCTCATTTGAAAGCTATTTCATATAGCACAATTTAATCTGTCACCATTTACATAATCTCTCTCAAAGACAGAGGCGATTTGCTTTCCAACTTCTCAGACAAATAGATGATAATGGATTAAACAACTTTGTAGAAATATTCTTCAAAAATATTTATTGAAATTTACTTATTCCATTTTCACCGATTCTCCGAAATAGTCAATCGAACCACGGATAGCTTGGAATTTCTTTAACACATTGAACTAATCTTCAATATATTGGTCGTTGGAGGATCTCGACCCTATCAAAACTTTAAATATCTTTCATACTAGTCACACAACTAATCGAACCACTACCGCATTTAGTCTGAGAGACTATATCTCCAGAACCTCTCTTCTAAATGAATCTAAATCCTGATCAAATAACTAAAAGAATAAAAGCTAAGTTGGTTGAAAACAGACTCATCATAGATACCAGACTTAAGATTTGTAACGGCAGACGGGCGTTTCGTCTACAAAAGGCTCATCAGTGACTCTCGAATAAAAAAAGTTAAAAGACCAAATAATTTACGAAGTTGAAGAGCATTGAGAACCAAAACTTCAAAAAGGTTTTGCCAAATACAACCAAAGTAATCTATTCCTGGGGTTGAAAATCCTAAGTATTTCGAAAAATTCAAAAAATTGTAAACAGTTAATTTATCATTATGACCATACCAATTACAATTATTGTCAACACAGAAGTGCTGACTACTGAATTATATGATGTCCTTATCAATTTTTAGATCGATTGATCATGTCCGAAATAGAAATAGTTAGCACAATCGAAACAAGTTTTACGTAGGGAGTTTGTAAGAAAATACATAAAATCTCTTTCTTGAACATCAAAAACTAACTTAGCTGTACATGTCATACTTTTTTGTATTGATATCTAAAGTTCTTCCACCTGGTCAACTTGACCATCATTATCTAAAAAACGAATACAATGGTAAACCAAATGTATTGCTTTATATCTCTGTAAAAACAAAGCCTTTATGAATAATACAGGCTCAGTTAATAATGACGGTCCTCGTGATGATTCTTTCTTTTTATATCGTCTCAGAGGACACATACCACGTAGAAATATAGTCACCGGAGAATTAAAATTATTTTAGAAATTTTTTAAGTAAATTTGAATTTGACAAGTGCTCTAAAAGAAAGAAAAAAAAAACAATTTGAAATGTTTTTCAGAGGAATTGTCTCCAAAAAGATATCCTAAGACAACATTCAAGAACAATGTTTATGGAACATTTTGTACATGCACGTGAATTGTTGGACATTTTAAGAAAATACAGTGCAAATCATGCTTTTTTGACATTTTGGATGGATTGTCATGTTAAACATTTCATTTCTAAATATATTGCAGGGCGATAGTGGAGGTCCCTTTGTTTGTCAGATTGGAAATCACTGGGAGTTACACGGAATAGTATCATGGGGCCTTGGATGTGCTGGTAAGTTAAAACTTAGATATGTACATTTTAACAAGTATCATTCCATCTTACTATAAAATAATACATAATGAAGCTGGTAGTACGTTCTTCAAAATATACATTATACTATTTCAATTTTACTTTAAATCACAAGTCTTGCATATGGTAATTTGCGCAATGTTCAGCCCATCAGCAGTAGTACGGTAGTAAAATAAACGATTGGTACCGATTTCATTTCAAAGTGGAGTAACCTTCATCAGATATGGCTGAGACCAAATATATTAATGTTTAATGACTGTGAAATACATGTTTTCCAAATGTATTTTTCAAAGATGAAAGGCTGTATCAACGGCTGTGATGATGTCATGAAAACTTGTACTTTTGTAAATTTCAATAACACCCTTTAAAATGCATACTAATATTTGCATAACATATCATTCAGTGTAATTTGATATTGCAATCGATATTAAATTTTATAAATGTGTTTTATCAGCAATCGATGGGTTAAGCTAGATTGAGTAAAATACCTGTTTTCATTTTGTTTCAGAAGCGAACATGCCTGGAGTTTACACAAATGTTTACACGTTTAATAAGTGGATACAAGATCAAATTGATGCAGATAAAAAAAGCACATGAGAACAATCTGATTTGTTTAATTTGAAACAATCTGGACAATGAAGTATTGTCAAATTTATTCATATTTGTTTATAGAATAAAATAGTATTGCATCTTGTCCTCGACTAGGTTTACATTCACGCAAAATAACCGCATGGCACTTGTGTCCCTCTTTCTTTCCACAGGCTAACAACTCATTCATATTTTCACATCTCATTTCAAAACAATATGTTGCTGTCAATTCCTGATCAAATTTTATTTTCAATACGCCGTGTTATTGATATATGTGTATTCTTTCCGATGGTATACGTTGTTTATACCTTTAGAATATCCTAATCTACAACACACAAGAATTATCAATAGCTTTTTCCATTGATCCGTTTTAAGACCGCTTATACAAATAAATGCAGTCTTGGAAAAACTATTCAACCCTTTTCACCAACTTGTTTCATATCAGGTAAACTTCATATACGACGTTTGAAGAAGAATGGTACGAAGCTAGCAATATTCCTTAACTTCAAGCTATACATATAAATTCTTCTCAAAATTATTCACATTTTTATGACAATCTTGATAGCACACATCACATTGACCAGGCGTTCATATTGGTAAAATTAAAGTCATCCATTCGAAAAATTTACAGATGCCTTTATGACTTGGTTGACCGTTATGGAATATATGTGTCACAGATGTCCATGGATATGTTCCAATTGTCGTAGCTGTGTGCACAATCCTCTCATCTTACTCAATTTAGAAACCACCGAATGCGACACCACATAACTTGTACTTGCGATAACCAACACGATTGACACACGTGGAGCAGGATCTGTCTACCCTTCTGGAGCACCTGAGATCACCCTTGGTTTTACATAGGGTTTGTGTTGCTCAGTATAGTTTTCTATGTAGTATTTTATAGACAGTTGTTTGTCTTTTAGTCCCTTTTTATTGGCCATGGTGTTGTCAGTCTTTCTTCGACTTATGTTTTTGTTGCCGGTTTGAATCTTCCTCCTCTTTTTTTAAGAAAGCGCTTATAGTGGAGGCGGAACTCCTTATCCAGCTAAATTCATCCCCATTTGTCGGTAGGGTTCTAGTTATTCAACATTTAGTTTTCTGTATATTTTATAGACTGATTTTCTTTTCTTATTTTTCCCTTTGGCAATAGTGTTATCTGTCTTTTTATTTTCGATTTTTTACTGTTCCCTTAGCATTTTCCTGTTTTCTACAAAAATATTTAGATATGAAGAAAACCTTCTCTTTTCTGTAGTATTGTACATTAGGTTCACTGGGATGTAAGGGAAATCATTGTTATGTTTGATAGTGAAATCAGGATGTTTTCCCTTGACTTATAAGTGCGCATAACTGTCTTAAATTTAGTACGTATTTGATTACAGAATGTCAGTTTTTTTAATTAATCAACAAATGTAACAATCGCTGTGTTTAAAGTCAAGAATGTCAACGTCGGTGTTTAACGTATCTACGTAGCTCAATAATCCTGCATTTTTTGTGTTGTGTTATTTGTCTTCTCACAAAGGCGTGCTTGAGCCAGAAATTTGATATTTTCAGGTAATTTATATTTGGTATGTAGGGGTTTGCTACTATCGACCTTGACTACCCATTACGGTCTCGCATATTCATATTAGGGTAGTATAAACGTATTTCGAAACCTCTGGACTCAAATGATCAGTATTAATTTTACAGAAAATTACAAATTATGATACATATATTCAATTTATCCGTTAGAGGTTTCAGGAAAATCAAGAAATTTGTATCATTTTACCTTTCTGAAAGGTGTATTTTGTTTTAAATCAGAAAAGCATTCGATTTATTGGCAGCTTTGATGCTAAACCTTAATGTGAAAGGATAGGTAATACAGATAAATAATAGTTTCTAGTGTAAACTTCGGAGTAATCGAGTGTTGGTATTTTTGTTACCCTTTTTATGTATTATTATCTGTTCTATTATATACCAAAGAAACACTTACAATGATCCCACTTATCTTTATTACCAAAAGTAATTAACAAGAGCTGTTATCTTTTCGCATGTTACTTTAATTTTTTTTATAAACAATCTAAAGAACAATGAAAGTATTGCACAACCTGTAGTGTTGAATTGCAGTTTTTTTCTTAAAGTTATTTTTATTTATCTGCATAATTATAGATTGTTACTTTTTTCTTAAAAAGAGCTAAGAACATGTATCTTCTTAAAAATGTTAGAGTGTAAGAGAAAGGTAAAAGTTATAATATAAATCGTTAAAATGTAAAGGAATTTAATCAAAATAGGGAATCATATTTTCCCAAAGAATTAAAAGTAAAACAGGTTTGAACCGAAACTGAACAATGTAAAATAGTTATCACAACAAAAAATGGACGATTACTTGCAAACATATGTAAGTGTAACATAAGGTACAGTTCCAAGACAAGGATTATTAGCAGCAGCTGATAATTGTTGTTGGAATACCCTTCCGTTACAAGTTGGTTGGTTATCACATATGTTAGCCATTTCTTTTGAAATATCTGTCTCACAGCTTGATGCTTTTCTTGGCGTATCAGGACAGGCATATGTAGTGGTACGTCCATATTTGGCATCCGTTATTAAAATACGGGTCGAATTTGGACACCCAAACGTTTTCTTACTGCCTTGGCATAATGTTACCCTTTTACCACCTTTATCAAATTCTTTGCGCAAATCTTTAATCGCATTTACATCATTGTTTGAAATTCCGAGTCCGATTCCAGGGATCCCTGCAAGATAATTATAGATATAAGATGAAAAGTATTGTATACGATGTTTCACTTTCTACCAGTTTAAAAAAAATACTTATGCTATCTTTTATAAATGAATTTAAAAAATCAAGAAATACAAATTTTATTATTTTGTTTTATTTGAGTAGTATTTGTATGGATATAAAAAAGAAAAACTGAAAAATAGAGTTCTTCTATAGATCCCGAAAGATCAATCACTGCAAAACTATACCAAATCTGTTCAATAAAAATATTCAATTAATTTATAAATCTCTCTGAAAATAAAATTGTAGCTATTGGTGCTTTGCATCATCAAGGAAAAAAAAAGACCATGAGCATATTTCATAAAAAGATTGTTTTATTTAAAAGGCGTTCCTTTAATAATGAAATATATTACACTTGATAAAAAGCGAAAAAAAAAAATGATGCAAAACACAAGTCGAAGAAAATTTCGCAACCTTTCCCCAAAACATGACGAAAAGACACGATGTCAGGTCAGGAAAGGACTACCACATCCTGATCTACATGGGCACTTTTATCAATTTATAAAAAGTATGAAACGTGTTGGTTAATTGTCAAACACACTGAAAATTAACCAAGATTTCCAGAAGCGTGATTCGAACAAGTTAAAGCTAAAGCCATTAAATTAAGAGAAGGTTTCATAATCAATTAAAAATATTAGTATCATCAGCTAAGTAGTCAGTACTTCGGTACTGACATAATTTATAACAAACCTTTCTAAAATTGTCCGTTTATAAATTTTGAAATTAAAAAAACTTAAGTACTATGTTTTATGACTACAAATCATTTCTGATTTAGTTAATAGATTGTTTTTGAATAGCGTCTAGAACAACTGATTTAAATATTTATATCTGTATTATAATTTCTACCTGGAGAATAAATTGCATAATCGGACCTTATTTTGAAAACGTGAATTTCCATCCTACCATATTTAGAATATCATAGATAATTTTATTACCAAAAATGGACTATAGAAAAGTAACCTATTTTGTGCATAGCTCGTGATATTTATGGTCATTATTTATTTGAATCTACTTAAAGTATAGTACCTTTTTCGCATCTGACGCCAGTAAAATCTGCTTTACATCTACAACTATAACTATCAATTCCATCTATACACGTACCACCATTCATACAAGGAGAACATTCACAATCATTAACATCTGAAAATTATATAAACCACTTTAGTCGAATCTAAATGACATAACTAAGTCTCATCGCATTGAATTTAATCAATGAAGCAGCAATATTTCGCCTTTCCTTATGTCAGTGTAGTGCTTTGGAATTTCAAGTTTCGATCTACCTACATGAATATGCCGAAAAAGAAGTGATGCAATATACTCCGTATTTTCATATTATCCCGAGGATGAACTGATTTTGACAATTACTTCATAGTGATTTTTTTGCAACTAGAAAGACTTTGAATTGAGGATTATAGATATGGTTGATACATACGGCTATAGTTTATCCAAAAAGTAGCGTATGCATTGAAGGCGTTAGTGAGATGTAAATTGAAAATAGCATTTTATAAATTTGGTGAGTTCTGGATTTTTTTTTTATAAAATGTTGATTTATTCAAAACAAGAAGGGTTTTTTTACCCCAAAGATTAATTGCCTTAGTCATTGTTTGACACAATTTTTAGAACTACGTACTTCATTTTGCTTTCAAACTGTTTTGATTCAAGCGTCACCGATTTAGGTTTTTTTGTAGAAAACGTACCAAATATAAACCTGGTATCTTAGATTAGTTAACCTTCTTTGACAGTTTGGATTGATCACTGAATAATCAGACCGTTGTATCCTTTCAGTTGTTTTCAAATATTTGGCTTTGAGCGCTTCTGCTGAGAGCTAATCCAGAAAAGTACTTTGGATGCATAGAATTTTGAAAGTGTTAATTTGATTTTTTTTACATTTTGCAAAGAATACAACCAATCGCTTATAGCCTCTTATTTTCATTTTGAATGTACTCTGCGGATGTAATGAATTATTACTATTGTTATTTTTTTTTTATCGAAATGATCTTCAAGGTTTTAAAAACGTTAGTTTCCAGCCTACTTCACATAGGGACTAAAGAGTTCATCATAGAGATTGTTATATAGCCGGAAAATATGATGTACAGGAATAACATATATCATGAAATATAAGGTTATGAATATAATTTAGTATACTTTAAAGATGTGACCTTTTTCGCATCTGACGCCAGTAAAACCTGCTTTACACATACATCTGTAACTACCAATCCCATCTATACATCTACCACCATGCATGCAAGGATTGAACTCACACTCGTTTATTTCTAAAACAAATGTACATAAGTCGCTTAGAGGTAAACACATTAAGCAGTTATCCACACAGTTCACACTTTCATTAAATAAGTGAAGTGTTTTCGGGTTTAAAGTTTTATCTTTACTTGGTGGAAATAAAACTTAAGTACTTTATTCCTTGTGATTTGTAATCCTTAACATAATTTGGTTCTGGAATTTATGCTCTACGGTATTCTTTACAACCAAAAGAAGTGAGTATTTAAATTTCTTGTTATATGTGGTTATAGTTCTTTTGAAAGTTTTACTCTTCAGTTCATGATGTCAACGATGATACAGCGCTTTACATAAGCCTCTCAATGTACTGACTACCAGAGATACTAGTATGTAAGCAATACGATGCCAAGAACCAATATTCGAATAGTGGCCTTTTTTAAATGTTCTCAGATAAATTGTGAGACTCATAGACATCTCTCGTTTATATCTTTTTTCTATTCTACAGTGTTATCAATTATTAACATTCTTGTCATGGTTAGAAAATACATAAAATAACACCATTTCAAACTCAATCCCAATTTAATATTCTTGTACGTGCCAATAAAAAAAATCTGTTTTACTTTTAGAAATTTATCTGTGATAATATAAACGTCACAAAAAAATACGGTACTTTGTGTGGCGTTGATCCATTCATGTGACGCGCAGTTTATGCTTCGTTTGTGGTGTCCTGTTGTGCTGTCGTAAATTCATGGGAGGTGTCCGTTGTTAGTCTGCGGTTTATATGTTGTAATGTACTATTATATTATTTATTTATGTATTTCTCTGTGTTGAGTGTTCTTGCGTTTATTTGTACTTTATTCCTGTCACGTAGTGATGTCATTTAAGCGGTATTCTTAACATCGCCATATAAGCGGGGGCTTTGGCTAGTCATAAAACCAGGTTCAACCCACCATTTTTTCTTAAAATGTCATGTACCAAGTCAGGAATATGGCAGTTGTTATCTAATAGTCCGTGTCTATGTATGTTGGCGTCTGTTTTTGTTGCAGTTCAGTGTTTCTGTTGTTCCGTTGTTTTCCTCTTATAGTTGATGTGTTTCCCTCGGTTTTACTTTGTAACCCGGATTTGTTTTCGCTTAACCGATTTATGACTATTGAACAGCGGTATGATACAGTTGCCTCTATTGCTAATGGATGATCTTTTTATGCTATAGCTTGATAAGTCGGGATGTGTATTGATTGTGTTGCCTGTTTCTTTCCTCTTTCGAACGGACTTTGTAACCACAACTGCACCTATACTAGTGAATGTAAATTTTCAGAATATTACCAGTCTCTAATCACATTATGAACTTCATTTTTATCGGAATGGTTTCCAGAGAGAAAAAAAAACATGAAATTTTATCATATCTTTACAAACGAGGAAAGAGTGTGGTGTATAAAAATGTGATCTCTCCTAGCAGTCTTCTAGTTTATAAGACATTGAAAACACCAAAATAGTCGTTGATCTGTGAAATTCCCGATTGTGATCTTTTCCCTATTGTGACAACTTATATTGAGTTTGGAATCAGAAGACAGGATTCTCTCAGGTTTTTTCTCTAGGTTTGTATATTGCAAATGGATTAACGAGTTTTGAACATAGGTGTACTGCTGTTGCCTCTAATTTAGAAGATGTTTCTGTAAAATTGTCAACTTTTCAGTTTGAAAACGATTTTTTAAAAACACTAACAAGAATTATGTTTAAAACAAATTAAGGATACAATTTTGTTTACATGTGATTCATATATGTATCTATGTTGTGATGTTACACTATTGTTTCAGATAAGGGTGAATGTTTGGTACCATTAAAACGTTTAAACCCGCTGCAATTGTTTGCACCTGTCCTGAGTCAGGAATCTGATGTTTAATAGTTGTCGTTTGTTGATGTGGTTCATAAGTGTTTCTCGTTTTTATATAGATTAGACCGTTGGTTTTCCCGTTTGAATGGTTTTACACTAGTAATATTTGGGGCCCTTTATAGCTTGCTGTTCGGTGTGAGCCAAGGCACCGTGTTGAAGACCATACTTTGACCTATATTGGTTTACTTTTATAAATTGTGACTTGGATGGAGAGTTGTCTCATTGGCACTCATACCACAACTTCTTATATCTATATACCTGTTTGGCAAAAACTTCCAGTGAATCCAGTCGTACAAGAACACGTAGAACTTGTACCATGATTTATACAAGAACCTCCATGTTGACACCGTGATGCAGTACATGGGTTTGTGTCGTCTGCAATTGCATTTAGTCATAATTTTATATAAAATATTTTTATGTTAATAAAAAAGATTATAAGTATTATACTTTTCATTTGGAAGATTACCAGATAATTCACACTTCACTTGGGTATTATTTTATTGGCAAAACAGGAAATAATAAAGAGGCAATAAATCACAGGTCGAAAAGAAGACAAAAGCAATCTATGAGATACATGTATTTATAATAGCGAAAAAATATGTATTCTACAGGAGTCATGACTTATTACGTCAATAACGGCAAACCATTTTGCTAGCATTTCTGATTCAGTTATAAGAGGGATTGTGAATACGGTTAAGTAGTCAACATGGATGTTAATATTGCTATATATGTATGTTATGTTTTACCTTGAGGATAAATTTATATTCCGACCTTATTTTGAAAATGTCAGTTTCCAGCCTACTACACTGTAGTACTGGAAAATACACCACAACGATTGTTATATAGCCGAAAAAATGATGTAGAGGAACAACATATATTATGCATATTTCGTGAAATATAAGATAATGAATGTTATTATATGATATTAGTAACATTGAAAGATGTGACCTTTTTCGCATCTGACGCCAGTAAAACCTGGTATACATGTACAACTATAACTACCAATGCCATCTATACATCTTCCACCATGCATGCAAGGAGAAAGTTCACACTCGTTTATATCTGAAAAATGTACAGATCACGTTAGTCGAAACAAGTGGTTTAAAAGTTAACACAAATCAGTTATATACACTGTTCACACTTTCCTTATGAAAGTGAAGTGTTTTCAGGTTTGTAGTTTTCATTTTAAGTTGGTGGAAAAAAACGGAGCACTTTATTCTGTGTTTTTTTAATACCTTTGGTAAAATAGTTCTGGATTTATACTTTATGGAATGTTTTACAACCAAAAGAATATAAATGAGAGCTAGAATTACCTGTTACATACGGTTATGATTCATTCGAAAATGTAACTTCTCTATACAGTTTGTGAACACTGAATCAGCGCTTAACATAGAATAATCAATATTATGACTACCGAAAATATGTCAAACAGTGCGATTTCATAATCCAATATTCGAATTATGGCTTTTAAAAAAAAATCATTGTCATCTCCCGTTTATTTCAGTTAAAAAAATGAAAACAACTCGTTATTAATTTTATGCGTCCGAAGCGCTTTTCTGGAATTACCTTCATCAGGAACGCTCACAGCCGAAAAATTGAAAGCCAGTGATGTATAAGAACCAAAACAGTTAAACAAATATATAATAAAAAAGGACATAAAAACAGCCAAATCCATCTAAGGTCAACTTTGCCAGAGAAAGTTGAAACCTTAGTTTTTTTTAATTTCAAAATTTATAAACGGACAATTATAGAAAGGTTTGTTATAAATTATGTCAGTACCGAAGTGACAGTCCACCAGCAGAGGTATCGACCCCGTGCTGTAAAAAATTATAACAACACGTTATTGATTTCATGCGTCTGAAGCGCTTTTCTGGATTTACCTTCATCAGGAACGCTAACAGCCGAATATTTGAAAGCAAAGGATGTATAAGAACCTTAACAGTTCAAGAGCTATATATTCAAATAGGACAAACAAAAAAGCCAAATCCATCTAAATTCAACTTTGCATGAGGGAGTTGAAATCTTAGTTTCTTTATAATTTATGAATTTTTACATCCCAACTGCTTTCTTCTAACAGGGTGATTTGAATACTTTGTTTCATTAAAAAGAATGGCGAACGTAGATACAAGTATCTTGTCTTAGGGAGGGATAAATCCGACTTTGTAAAGAATCACTCTGATTCAAACAAAAAATTCTCTGAAACTGACAATATCAAGATGCTTGATTTCTTGATTGACAACATATTTGTTACGTTTGGAGGACGTGTTTTTCAACAGACTGTCGGAATTCCAATGGGAACCAATTGTGCCCCTCTTCTTGCCGACTTGTTTCTATATTATTATGAGGCTGACTTCATACAGGAACTTCTTAGGAAGAAAGATAAGAAGTTAGCAATATCCTTTAACTCTACATTCCGCTATATAGATGATGTTCTCTCACTAAATAATATAAAATTTGGTGACTATGTTGAACGAATCTATCTCATCGAACTAGAGATAAAGGATACTACAGATACAGTTAAGTCTGCCTCATATCTTGACTTACATCTAGAAATTGACAACGAGGGTCGGTTGAAAACAAAACTTTACGACAAAAGAGATGATTTCAGCTTCCCAATTGTGAACTTTCCATTTCTATGTAGCAACATTCCAGCAGCGTCTGCATACGGAGTATATACCTCCCAATTGATACGATATTCCCAGGCTTGTGTTTCCTATCATGATTTCCTTGATAGAGGATTGCTGCTCACAAGGAAGCTATTAAACCAGGAGTTCCAAATGGTGAAGTTGAAATCACCCCTTCGTAAATTTTACGGACGCCATCACGAGTTGGTTGACCGTTATGGAATAACCGTTTCACAGATGATATCGGATATGTTCCTTATGTCACTACAGTACCCTTCCCTTTTCACGAATGTGACTTACCGAATTAGACTATTTACCGGATTTGTAATAACATAAGCAACACGACGGGTGCAACATGTGGAGCAGGATCTGCTTACCCTTCCGGAGCACCTGAGATCACCCCCAGTGTTTGGTGGGGTTCGTGTTGCTTAGTCTTTAGTTTTCTATGTTGTGTCATCTGTACTATTATTTGTCTGTTTGTCTTTTTATTTTTGGCCATGGCGTTGTCAGTTTGTTTTCGATCAATGAGTTTGACTGTCCCTCTGGTATCTTTCTTTTTGAATCAGATCACCCCTACCAGATCACCGTACCTTGATTTTTTTGTTCTGCATGCTTTCTTTTGTTCTGTAACATTTTGCAAGAATGTTGAACACACAATAAAAGACTAACTTTCAAAATTTATGAAGAAAAAATCCACTAAATTTCCAGAGCGGGAATCGAACTCAAGACCTCAAGCATATGAAGCCACGACACATACCCCTATACAAGGACGACTGGATACATAATCTTCGTTAATTTAACATATTCAAACATTGTAGCCGGGGATCATAAAAGGTATATACTATATAGTAATATATAAAGTATATTATAATTATTGTATGGCATTCGGAACTAGATGTTATAAAGCGTAAATATTTTTTTCATATAGTCTAGAAGAGCTGGGATGTAAAATTGTTATCGCAATCGGACTTGGTGTGTCAGTGTAAAATCATCCTCTAGCCTCCGGCCATCAGGATGAACTTACACTGACACACCGCGTCTTGATGGGATAACTATTACATAAACGGACAGTTTTAGAACTTATAGCTGAAATTGATCACTGGACACTGAAATACACATCTGTTATATTTCGTTTCTATTCCACATTCTAAGGAGGTAATTAAATATTGATAATAGGTGATAATTTTATATTACAGCTTCACTAAGTCGGGATGTATACTGTTCTTTTCCTGTTTCAAACGCACTGTGTGACCACAACTTCCTCTAAACCAGTGACTGTAAACTTTCAGAAAAGCGCATCACACGCATGCAATGTATAACGTATTGTTTTCATTTTGTTTCAGATTTTAACCCGTCTCTTATATGGCATTATGAACTTCAAACTTTATTTTTTTTATCAAAGAAATGTTTTCGGGGTTTTCATTAACAAAACATGACATTTTATCATATCGTTACAAACGAGGAAAGAATTTGATGTATGTCTAGTTTCTAAGACACTGGAAACACCAGAACGGTCGTATGATCTGTAAATTTACCGATTGTGTTCTATTTCCGATCATAACAACCATTACCGAGTTTGGATTATGAAGACTGCAGTCACTCAGGATCATTGTAATGATTTGTATTTTGAAATCGGATTTACAAGTTTTGAACAAAGATAACTGTAACCTTTTTGATTCGAGCGTGAGTGCTAAGTCTTTTGTAGACGAAAAGAGCCTGGTATCTTTGATGAGTTTCTGTAAAATTGAGACCTGTTCAGTTTTTAAACGATTTTTTTATTACACTAACAAGCATTATGTTTATAAAAAATGAGGAAAACATTTTGTTTACATTTAATTCATTTATGCATACCTGTTTGACAAAAAGATCCAGTGAAACCAGTCGTACAAGCACACGTAGAACTTTTACCATGATTTAAACAAGTACCTCCATGTTGACACCGTGATGCAGTACATGAGTTTCTATCGTCTGCAATTGCAGTTAGTAATTAATTTTATAAAATGTATTTATGTTCATTTCAAAGTTGTAACTTTTTGATCAATCAATAATAAATTTTTTTTTGAACAATTTCCATTGGAAAAAGTATTGCATGCATACATAGTTTCATTTTTTGATTCCTTTAGTTAGTTACGATGAATAAACAAGAAAATGATATTCTCTTTTAATATCTGCCAAAATGTAGTCTTTCATACTTATTGCTTTACAAAATGTTCATTAATAGAAACAATCACACAAAAAATAAAACTTATTTGTGACTATACATAAGTAAAAATCGAATTTTTAATATATTAAAAACAGATAACTGTTCACATGGTTAGAAATGGTTTGCAACGGGTTCATTGTATTCTTATTTGATAACACAATAGATAAAGCTGTACATTTTTGTTTTACTACATTAACAGAGTTATCTGCTCTTATATAGCAATTGTCGTGTTAAAGTTTCTGTTTTTGTAACAAAAATAACTACAATAATACAAAATTATATGATTTTTTTTCTTGTGTACGAAAAGTCTTTGAAACAAAGTTGCCACTCAGAATACAATTCTTTTAAATTGTAGTAGCAATCTGGACCAATATTTGCGGTAGACTGCACTTGCGTTGCCTGCAGACATGTGTAGCGCAGTAATAGATATCATTATGTATATATCATTCTAGTCAATCACAAGTACGATAAGTGTTCGAAATATTAGCAATAATTAACCAAATCACACAATACTGATTTATCTGATACATTTCATCTATAAATTTATCCATTTTCAAAGCTTTCTGTAAAAGATCAAACTTCCTAAAATCAATCAATTGAAGCAGAGGTTCCATTTCAGACAAAATATGTGGTGCGATAAAGCTTATATTCCCCTTAAAAACGTTTGCTTACAATAATTACATACATGATACAAATCAATGACAAAGACAAAGAAGATGGAATGTCTTTAATATATTTAAGGTGGATCATGGGTATATATTTCCTCAGATAGAAATTTCTTATTCTCTGCCAGAGTGTAGATTATTCCATGCTTTTTCCAAAAATATAATAAAAAATATGAGTCACCATGCTATTTTTCAAGCTACAAGATGTGCAAAATTGCCCAAATTTGCATAGATTGTTCATGAAAAAAAAATAATTTGTGAATAAAAAGAACTCTATGAGATAAAATTTTCAAATGAAAAATGAGAAGATAGGTTTTAAAATATGCTTTAAGAAAATAAAAAGGAAAAAATTGTGTCACCGACCTTGTTTTCTTTCTACAAGCAAAATTATAAAAATTTCTCTGTCATTCCTGTATAAAAAAAATACTCTTTGAGTTATTTCCCCTTAAATGGATAAGTTGACAATTTGATTCGAACAAACACAAAATTTGTTATTTGATGAATAATGCAATACATCATTTATTTTTCTTTATTCTAACCAAAAGTCTAACCCATTAATTACCGTTTGTCTCAAAATTTTCAGATATAAGCAAAGAACTAGACCTAATAAAAACTACTATATTACAATCCAAGATGTCGGTATACAGTTAATATACCATAATTATAGTATGTTAGTTTACTTTGGGACTGTATTAATTAGGGAAAAACAGTTCACAACATTATGCATGTGATTTAAATAAACCATTTATGTAAATTGTTTAATAAGATATAATATTTGTCATGTCAACATATTGATGTGTTACATGTCTGTGATCTATATTACCCATAGAAAAAAATATTGAAGAGAAACTAAATGCTACTATTCAACAATGTTTAGGTCTTATCTTTAACATCAGTTAAAACATAGATGTTTTGGTGTTATATTTTCAGTAAGGAAAAAATATTATAAACGTATGAAGGAACGATATAAAACATTTTGCGATACTAATCCTTCAAATGTAATTCTTAGGAAAAACATGGTCTTAATTGCCTTTTATATGAAGGATGTATTCTTCTGACGTTTCAGTCTCGTTGAAATCTCGTTCTGGAATTATTTCAAAAACATGCGATACAAGTGGAAAATACCAATGAATTTAAAAAATATTATAATCAAACTTAACTCTGAAACTGTGATTTTTTTTTCATAATAATAGCCCAAAAATGGGTAAAAATTGATAAAAAATGGGAAAATCATCAAAATTGGGTAAAAAAAGAAGTGCACCAATTATTTTTGTACAGTCATATAAACCCAAAAATCATGTTAAGAAAAAAAGTTTAATTATAGAAATTTTTGGCTCCTCAGAGGTGTACATCCTTAATATTTTTGCAACCAATTTACTAGGTAAATTAACTAATTACCTTGACACGAATACTGCAAGGATAAATACTTTGACGTTTGTGGGCATGGATCACCAAATGTACGATTAGATGCTCCTAATGTGCATTCCTTTTCACCATTACACCAATGCGATATAGCTACAATAACGTCTTGCATGGAGCATGAAATCTGTTTCGCACGACTATCAGAGCAAATCACAGAGTTGGATCTTCCATAGAATGCACGATGTACATATAGATGTTGGTTATCTTGACATCGAATATTTTTGATAAAGCCTTCGCAAATTACCACCGTTTTGCCTGGGCGATCTGTAATGCAGGGGATTAGCAATATAACTCCAAATAAACGCGCAGATAGTGATGTATATTTTAAGTAATAATTTTAGAGTGTTTAGTTTGCAATTGCGCATTTGATTAAAGCTACAGAAGGATTTTTATTACAGACCATGAGTGGATACACTCTGAAAAGTAGGCGAACCGGGAAACTAGGTGGAGAACTTTGAACTTAAAAACCTGCCAAACAACAGCCTACCTGTGGGACACTCAACCGAACATCTCCTCAACACAAATCCAAAAAACAGGCCAGTCAAGCTTAACTATTATTTCACTTTAACTACAGTATAAGGTCAAGAGTGTTTCACTACTCCAAGCTCCCGTATTATTTCATATAAAAACTAAATGTTTAAAAAACTAATTTGTGGTCTGATTTCGATGAAATTTTATTGCTAAACTCACAAATGTGTACAATTTTCAATGGTTATTATGAAATATTTTTATGATATTTTAAGCGAAATTACAAGTATTGAAATTAGGTGTAACATTTTCCTATATCACATGATTTTTTTGCCGCAGAAATTCATAATTGTCATGAAACAGTGATTTCTCTTAAAAGATGAATCATAAATATATTTCATAATTTTTTCAAAACTGCAAACATTTCTGTATTTAAAAAAAGCGATTCATTCAATTTGAACAAGAAATATCTTCAGGAGAATTTTTTATCAAAACTTAGTTTTCATATGAAATAATAGGGGAAACACATTTGAGCTCAGACTGTATGTAGAAGAGCATTATTTGATACAAGAAAATGAACCTCATCTCAAAAATGTTCACTAGAAAACCGTAACTTTAGCTTTTCAGTGCTACAGTATTGTCTTGTTGCTGTGATACCGATACTACTGAAGTGATTTCGCTGATTCAGAATATGGATTAGATCAGAAATCCTTTTTTATCATTCAATTTAATTTGTATCGATATCAGAACCTTCGTCGTCCAAAAGCAATTCAAAAACAACTTGTTAATTTTGGGAAAGCGATTTAGAATTGTCGAATACTATAGTTGATGACTGAACGGTTATCCCCATTTTGCAAAATTTGTACTGTTACTTAAATTTTATTGACGATTATCTCAAATCTGTTTTTATGCTTATATCTGCAAGAAAAGAAAATCGTTAACACTGCTTCAAAAAGACTTACCTGTGCATTTGTAGTCAATTGAAAGATATTTTGAAGTTCCTGCGCATGGGTCACCAAATATATTTGCGTCTGCTGTAACGTCACATGACTCTTTTCCCTGACATACTCCTTCTAAATCACGTTTAGCTCCTTTTGCGCTACATGATATACTTTGGTTGTGTCCATCAGAGCAAGTAACTGTATTGCTGCGTCCAAAATATGCACTTACGATTTCAATTTGTTGATGGGGACACCTTAGCGAATGTTTGTATCCTTCGCAAATAACAAGATTCCTTGGAATTGCTGCAATAATGAATTAAACTAAATGCACAAATATTTCTTTGTTCGAACCTAATTCATAAAAAAATCTGAATTAAATCAACTGTCATATCAATTCAAAACAGAGCAACTCCACAAAAACTAGAAAGATTGGCTACCCGACTAAAAGTCTCTATTCAGCCATTTCAGAAGTCCAAATATCACCAGAGCTGTAAGAAACTATCTTTTAAAATGAATGAAAAATAAATCTATTTGTTTGGAATGCATAAATATCATGTAATGTAAATCAGAACAAGTTCAGAACTTGGCAAAGAAGATTGTACTTACTTTTCCCAAATTGTCACATGATATGATATAGAAAAGTGTAGACGATACAAAGTGGCTCGATTTATTAATACCTGGAAACGATAAATAACCATATAACCGAAATCCTTCAGTTACAGTTTTTAAAAACTTTAGGTTTAATTGTAAAATTGTCATTAAAGCTAAGTAACTATTTATTCATTTCAATTATGATTCATGTATTCATAAAATGTTGAAATTTTCAAAACAACAAGATTTTGCAATCCCCCAGACATAGAAAGCATTAGCTTGTAATCGGCACAACCTTTCTAATTTCTTTATTTTTAATGCTCTTCAACTTCGAAATTAATTTGGTCTTCAAATTCAAATTGTTTAGATTCGAGCGCAGATGACGAGCCTTATGTTAACGAAACGCTTTTTTTTATGTATAGCATTTATATATTTTAATACTAAACGCAATGATATTCTTTCAATATTGATGAACCCAACATTTAACCCTTTCACGTTCCGTCAAATTGGACCTAAACTTATGGGAAAGACACTATCAAAATACAATCAAATATAGAAATTCGCACCAAAGCTCTTATAAAGGTCATTTTGGATCCATATGAGAGATAATTGATTGATTATATCAGAAAATTTAATATGAAGAATATTTTGTCTTTTTTAGGTACGTGGTATCTTTCCAAAGTCAAGTGACTTGCGAAAAAATGTGGAAAAAAATCCCAAAATTATTGCGGCAAAAGTCGGGTAGATACATGTTGATGCGCTAATAGGGTATAGTTTTGGTGTCAAAGCAATGACACAGGTCTGATACAAACATAAAAGTTGCCGTAATGGTACAGAAAGAGGAAATACGTGCTATATGCCTCGAAATGTTGATACCCGTAACATAAAAAATGACGGACTTCAGCCGGTTTTTTTTCGTCCAAATCTAATCCCTGACACAAATTTCTGGCTAAATCATGTTCATTCAAGCAGCAAACAAAATTTAACTTTTGCAAGTAAAGATTCAATGAATTACCAATAATAACTTGGTGCTGTGGCCCATACTGGACTGTAGCAATGGAAAAATGAGGGGGAGGGGTGCAATTAGCCACACAAATTCTTTTAAAACAAACAGAAATCGTTCTTAATCTGACTTATGCATGTTTAACCCCGCCACATTTTTTGCGCCTGTCCCGTCAGGAGCCTCTGGCCTTTGTTAGTCTTGTATGTGTTTTTTTGTTTTAGTTCATTTATATGTTTCGGAGTTTAGTATGATGTCCATTTTCACTGAACTAGTACACATTTTTGTTGAGGGGCCAGCTGAAGCCCGCCTCTGGGTGCGGGATTTTCTCGCTGTCGTTACCTTGGGCTGTTTTCTGCTCTTTGGTCGGGTTGTTGTCTCTTTGACTGATTCCTCATTTATATTCTCAATTTTTATCTTTTTGATATTGAAAGTAAAGTTCAGTTAAGTTACATTTAATATAAGAAAAATATATTTGCGGGAAAAATGTGAAAAAAAACCCCAAAATTCTTGCGGCAAAATTCGCGTAGAGACATTTTCATGCGCTAATAGGGTATAGAAGTTTAAGGCACAATGAATCACAAAGTTGTGATATAAAGGATTGATTTTAGCCCTCAACCACTGCTGTATGTAAAAAAATGTCAAAGATTCAAGACTTAACGCATACTAGTTGCCTGAAAACTTAGCGAGAGTACCGATAGGAACGTGAAGTGGTTAAAAATCAATCTTTTGGATTGGAAACGAAGTGCATACTTGTTTTATTTGTGGATGAGGTTAACTGCAGCGTTGAAACATTTTTAATAAGAATAAGACTAAGATTTATCCTGCAATCAACTACTCCCTTGCAGGAAAGATTCCCATTGATACAGTTATACCGCATTTATTTTATAACTTTATATGAACAAAGATTACTGGAATTTTTGTTATGACGATTAACAGAAACTTTCAGACTAAATATTCCAAATGTCAAAAATATTCACAATACAAAATCATAAAATAAAAGAAAAAGATCCTAAATACGCATCTCTTTAGTTGGAAAAAAAAGAAAATACGATGGGTCAATCAAAATTAGAAGTCGAAAAAGGATAGAAGGTCGAGGACATAAACTTCACCAAAACCGGGGTGGTCTTAAACGATCAAAGTATGCAGTAATCACTTCACTAATGGCATCCGTCGTGTTGCTTATGGCTTATGGCTTATGGAAAAAAAAATTGGTCATTGTGTATTCGGCTATAATAATAAACAATGGATATTCAAAAATGGTCAGCCATTATTACTTTTTAATTAAATATTTACATTAAGAAATACTTCGTTATAAGTTATTTTTACCGCTGCGTTGAATCCGCTCCTTATGGACTGTTAGTCCACTATCTAAAATATCAACTCAATAGCCAGTTCTGTGGTATTGGTATGAACTGAATGGTGAATGTTTAGTACGTTTTCAGTTCGTACACCATGTAATTGTACATAAAATAAGATTGCAAAAATTACAAGCGTTGTTGACCTTTGACTTTTTTTTGCAGTTTGTATGAAGGTTCAACAGGTTTAAAAGAGGGACGAAAGATACCAGAGAGACAGTCAAATTCATAGATCGAAAACAAACTGACAACGCCATGGCCAAAAAATAAAAAGACAAACAGACAAATAATAGTACAGATGACACAACATAGAAAACTAAAGACTAAGCAACACGAACCCCACCAAAAACTGGGGGTGATCTCAGGTGCTCCGGAAGTGTAAGCAGATCCTGCTCCACATGTGGCACCCGTCGTGTTGCTTATGTTATTACAAATCCGGTAAATAGTCTAATTTTAGTAAATAGTAAAATTTACGAAAGGATGATTTCAACTTCACCATTTGGAACTCTTGGCTTGATAGCTTCCTTGAGAGCAGCAATCCTCTATCAAGGAAATCATGATAGGAAACACAAGCCCGGGAATATCGTATCAATTGGGAGATATATACTCCGTATGCAGGCGCTGCTGGAATGTTGCTACATAGAAATGGAAAGTTCACAATTGGGAAGCTGAAATCATCTCTTTTGTCGTAAAGTTTTGTTTTCAACCGACCCTCATTGTCAATTTCTAGATGTAAGTCAAGATATGAGGCAGACTTAACTGTATCTGTAGTATCCTTTATCTCTAGTTCGATGGGATAGATTCGTTCAACATAGTCACCAAATTTTGTATCATTTAGTGAGAGAACATCATCTATATAGCGGAACGTAGAGTTAAAGGATATTGCTAACTTCTTATCTTTCTTCCTAAGAAGTTCCTGTATGAAGTCAGCCTCATAATAATAAAGAAACAAGTCGGCAAGAAGAGGGGCACAATTTGTTCCCATTGGAATTCCGACAGTCTGTTGAAAAACACGTCCTCCAAACGTTACAAATATGTTGTCAATCAAGAAATCAAGCATCTTGATAATGTCAGTTTCAGAGAATTTTTTGTTTGAATCAGAGTGATTCTTTACAAAGTCGGATTTATCCCTCCCCAAGACAAGATACTTGTATCTACGTTCGCCATTCTTTTTACTGAAACAAAGTAATACCAACTCTTTCAATTTGTCTTTTAGTTTGGAATGGGGAATACTTATGTAAAGTGTAGAAAAGTCAAATGTTTTAATACTATTGCAAGATGAGAGAGTCTTAGATTGTATGTACTCTAAAAGATCTTTGGATTTTTTTAGTATCCACATCTGATTCACGCCACATCTAGAATAGGCAGTTTCACAATAACTTTGGAGCCCGGCTTTGATTGCTGATAAAATAGATGTTAATAATTTAGAAATAGGTTTCGTGGAGCACTTGGAAGACCCAGTAATATACCGTTGTTTGTAAGGACACTTATGTAGTTTAGGTATCCAATACAGTGATGGAAGATCCAGTTCTTCATCTTTGGTTGAAATTCCAAAGGAACATAGAACAGACCTATGATTATCCAGGATTTCCTCTTTGGTAAGTGTCGTGAGGGTATATGTTGAGTTTCCAAGTGAATTGTCAATACCTAATTCATTTATCAAGCAGTTTATGTAATGATATTTACACACAAAAACGATGTTGTTTAAATGTTGAATGTTCCCTACTAAATGTTTGTGACAAGTACTTACCCTCACACTGATAATCTATTTGAAGATATTTTGACGTTTTAGGGCATTGATCTCCAAAGATTGATGTTTTTGCTGTTAGTTCACAAGTCTCCTTCCCATAACACATGCCTAATACTTTTGCAAATACATCACTGGTAGTACATGAAAGAGAATTGGTCGTCGAATTGGAACAGGTTACCTCATTTGCACGACCAAAAAATGCGTAAATTATTTTGATTTGTTTACCAGGACATTTTATTACTTTCTGGAAATTTTCACATATGAAAATACTCTTCTCCGTCATAGCTAAATAGAAGAAAGTAAAACAGAAAAATATGGAGGATGTTTAATAGTACAGTGCAATGGTAAAAGCGGTCGACTTATGTGAATTCGGGCTTTTTTTTCAACTCTATTTCTACAATTTGATCATAGTTTATACAATAAATATGTTGAAAGATAAAACAAACGTTTACATCCTTTCACATCAATTAGCGGCACAATGTTTACTGCATGAAGGGCAGATATTAAACAAGATAATTATTTTTTTCATTACGGATTATTTAGAGTTGCAGTCTTCTATAGTCGTGTTTCTTATTCTTTGTGTTTTTTGTATTTTGTCGTAGAATACCACAAACAAAATATAACAGGAACCACCAAAAATATTAGACAGCTGTGACACAAACTATCAACAATGACTCGTTTAAAACCTTTTTTTGTATATTAAAAAAAAAGCATAATTAGAAATTCAATCTTCACGTTCTTCTTAGTAATTACGACCTTCGGTGTTTAATAAGACTGAGAAACACAAAAAAATATAATTTAAAAAACGTGAGTTTTACCCTTTTCGTGTAAGTTGTTTCATCCAGATAATTGAACGAACAATCTATATTGTCTTACTTTAACACCTAGCTTGACAATGTTCTTTGTTGTAAATCACTTTTAATAACATCATATTTTACCACCAATTTTGACGCAACAGACTGCGACAAATATTGTCTTTTTAGTGATGCATATATCATTACTGTGGTAATTGAATTTTTTGTTGTTGATGCAACCGATTACGCATTTTGCTAAGTATTTTTTCAAATACTTTTAAGCAGTAGAAATAGATTTTCCTTTCGTAAGTTTCATATATGAAATCACTAAAAAAAATAGTAATCATTAATTAAAACACATAATACTAAATGCGACTGTCGAACATGCTGTTGTATTGGGATGGTTAAAAATACTTCTCTTTGCAAGACGATGTTAGCATTCGGTATGCACTGCAGTTTTCCTTTTATGATACCATATATGATTGATTGATTATTCGATGTTAGTTTAACGCCGACTCACAAACACAGGATAGTATGATGAGGCAAAATATTGTCTATATGAATAACACGACCAAAATCCATGCAAAATATAGATAAAATAAGATATAAATCCAAAACTAAAATACAACATATGATTGAATACGCAAGTAAATTTTTTTGTATGTTAAATTGAGTAAATCAAAGACTTGTAGGCGTTACTTATGATTATAGCGGAAAAACTAGAATCGAAAATTTATCGCTTTTCAAAATGAATCTCTTAAATGTTGGGCGCGTTCCCTGCAAGGAAGGTACGATTATAAGATAACACGAAAACGTTCTTGTAGATTGTACTTCTATTAATACAGACAATACAATTTCCCATAGGAATTCCTTTAATGGCTAGAACTATGCCTCTTTTACTATGAAGTTTCGTAACAAAATCATATCCTGGTATGGAAAGTTCATATGCACCAATTTTTTTGGAAAGGTTAAAACAAAGGGTTGTGTGGTATATTTTCAGCATTTATATGCCTTGAACTTCTACGCGTCTAAACTTGTACTAAAATTCTGTACTACCCCTCCCTTTACTCTGAGTCTTCCTGAGAATTCAATGTGTCCGCTATCCAACAGTATTTATACTGGTAAAATTTCCACGTTATGTCTCTATGAAATGAAACATGGAGATCATATCTGGGAACCAGTAGGTAAACAAAACAAAATATCTATGAATATTAAATAGGTCTTAAAAGAGGTGCGGTTTGTGAATCAGCTGTATTTACAAAGTGCATTCTGTAAATAGTAATAATGAAAAAAAAAATATCATGTGAACATTTTCCTGTTAATATAACAAATGCGGAAAAGGGCGGCTTTAGATCTTTTGTCTAAAATTAGTTTAAATTGTTGCTATGCAAATATATTACCAATCATAAATATCATTTTAAGTGGATAAATGTGTTATAAAACTCGACAATACCCCAAATGTGTCCAAATCTATGTATGTACATATCTAAAGAAGAAAAATTAAACATAATATAACGATGTAATGATATTCCAACGTCTCGATCCTGAATTTGATTTTTTTCATGTTTAATTTGCTGTAAAAAGATGTGTCAATTACAATGACCTTCTCAACCAAGTGAAAATGTTGTCCTCTTCTTGTCGACTTGTTCATTATAAGTAGGCTTCATTCAGTAGCATCTTGTAAAAAATGACAAGAAGTAAGCATTATCCTTTACTTCACGTTCCGCTATATACAAGAAGATGATGTCCTCTCACTGAATAATTCAGAATGTATTGACTGCATCGAATTTTAAAATAAAGGATACAGTTCAGTCTGCTTCATACCAAGTCGTCTGGAATATGTCAGTTGTTTTCCATTCGTTTGTGTTTGAGCTTTTGATTTTGCCATATGATAAAGGACTTTCCGTTTTGAATTTTCCTTGGATTTCAGTATTTTTGTTCTTTTACTCTATACCTATAAATTCCTAAGTTAGGGTCGATTGAGAATAATGCTTTACGACAAAATATATGATTTCAGCTTCCCAATTGTGAACTTTTCCTTTCTATGTAGCAATATTCCAGCAGCGCTTGGAGTATACCTATCTTCCAGTTGATACGATATTCAATAGCTTGCGTTCCCGATCATGACTTCCTTGATGGAAGATTACTGCTTACGAGGAAGCTATTACACCGATGTTTCCTATGGGTTAAGTTGAAGTCATCCTTTCGAAAACTTTACGGAAGCCGTTACGAAATGGTTAACCTTTATGGCAACTCTGTTTCACAGATGACGACATATATGCTATATTTGTCACAATTACATCTTTTCCTCGAATGTGACATCACTGTCAGACATTTACCACCGAAAATGTACTTTCATGAGCAACAAGACGGATGTCTTAAGCTTCAGGAGTACCTGAGATGACTCCTGCTTTTTTTGCTGTTTTTTCTTGTTGCTCAAACTATCTTTTACCTAAGTTGTGTTTTGAGACTGTTTTTCTTTTCGTCGTTTTTCTTCTTTTTTTTTTGGCATGACTTTGTCAGTATTTTATCGTCTTATGAGTTTGAATATCCGTTTGATATCTTCCGCCTCTTTTTGACGTAAAGTTTACCTGCCATGGTTACAATCAGGCCCAGTTGATATCAAGGATCATATTTTATGGTCTTCAACATGCAGTAGCTGGTCGAGTATTACTTCGCCATTGTCGTAGAAGCCGGGGTCGGGTACAAAAGAGGGGCACAACTTTGATTTAGCCCCATACTTGTTGGCCACACGAATATTAAAAATATGAAAGTTAATATGAAAGAGATCTCCGAATAACTTCAAGACTATTAGACTATTGAAAAATGTTTTATTTTGCTTGTCACTTTTATAAACCTGCCCCCGAAATTCAGTCTACTCCGACGCCTCTGGTTGCATGTGTGCGGTTCACTAAGCAATATGTTCTAATAGACCAAGTTCTTAAATGGAATTTGATTCTTTACTGATTATAACAAAAACTACTTACTTTGATTACATATTATACAACGATTGTCACATGGGAGCAGGATGTGCATTCATTCGAAACAATAACCTGAACGATACAACTCTATTTTTAAAGGTTCTCATCAAGAGCAATTTACTGCTAATTACATGCATGTTTATTTTGTAGAATACATATTTCTTATTTTTCATTTGATTGTAATACAGTCTCAATACTTTCGAAAATAATTTAAAAAAACATCAAATTTGAACTTTCACATCAAATGATTTAGTATTAAAAACATACCTTGGCCTGTTACGATAACAAATACAAAGAATAACACTATGATAATATACTTCGCATCCATTATAGGATATAGTTTAAAAATAAATGTATATATCTATTAACAAAAACAAATAAGTTATAGTATACTCAGTATATCGTCACATGCTTAATGAAATTCGATTACATGTGATTAGCAGCAAAATGTTCATATAATGCTTATTTAATGCATATCGATTTCCCTTTCTTAAAAGCTAGCTAGTAGTATATAGTAACACTTTTATCAGATTGTAGGATTTAAGAAAAAAAAACAATTATTTAAATGAGTTTTTTCCTGTAATCAATAGCTGTCTGAAGAAAAGGAGTCAAGAAGTTAAGTAAATATATTCATATATTATAAGGTATATTGTATGTGACATACAGTTGTGTAAATAAGTGAATTAAAACGTCACAATTATTGTGCAGAAGCCCTATATATGACTTACGTTGATTATTGTATGTATGTCATTCAAATAAACACAAAAACAGTAAATGATAAGATTGTCTTTAAAATTTGTCCACATTACGGTTCATTAACTGCTTCATTTAAAAACATCCAATCAAAGTAAAATAATCTTCGACTTAATTGATGGATTGCTGTTTGCTTATCGTCCAATGGTAAATATTGCATTCAAATTCAGGAAAAAAATTTACAAATAACAATAAATTAAATAGATTGTCTCTGTAAAGTTAGTGTACCAGGATGAAATAGAACACACTCGACGACAATCACTGAATTACAGTCTCCTGACTTGAAACAGTCACAGACAGAATGTGGCGAGTTTAAACATGCTTGTGAGCCCTTAAACCTGTCCCAACCTGGGTGTAACAGCACACAATAAGGAAAAGCTAAAAAGTTAGTTACAAATGGCCTGACTCATTACATCGGAACGATACAATAAAAAAAAAAAAAAAAACAAACAAACAAACAAACATCATAAAGACAAAAGACCGATCCAAGAGCACCCGGGGTTACTGATAATCAGCTCAAAGACAACAGCCATCAACTTTTCCCGGACCAAAGTATCAACCAGTATATATCCAAGGGTAAAGACGTTATTGAACGTCCGAGAAAAGCATTTTCTGATGCAATGCTAAAATATAGGTACATAATATCGATAGGAAGTAGGACAATAAGTTTCCCAAATGTATAAAAATATAATAGTTAAGTTGCGTTTTGATTTATCAAAACCAAAATCAATGATAAAAACAATTTCAAAGATCTTACTAAGGTGTTAAACTGATATTCTTTATGAGTTTAGATGGATCGCATCTAAATTTATAGGCTTAATAAACAAAATTAACATAAAATTGCAACGTCCAGTTTTCAAGAAGAACTCCAGAGGTAGGGCCAAACTTCGAAACCGAATCTTTGTATCTATGAATGAATTTAGCAAAACCCTTTAGTATTTTATGGTAACGAAATCTAAGACTCAGTATATGTTGTTGATTGTCTGCAATATGTGTTTTGGCATAAACCATGCTCTTAATTTTCTACTTTGAATTGTTAAACATTTTGTTATACCGGGACATTTTAAAGCATAAGTATCGGTTTGTGATAATTGTTGAATGTCTATGGTTACTAACATCAACGTTCCATAGCTTCTGCTGGATAACTGTATCATTGACAATTATACTATATCTCGTGTATTAACTGTTAACAAAACTTTGAATTGTTCGAAATACTAAGGAGTTTCTATCACCGGTATAGATTATCTTAGCTGTATCTGACAAAACCTTTCGGAATTGTGTGTCCTCAATGCTCTTCAACTTCGTACTTGATTAAGGCTTTAAATTTTTTTTTATTCTAGCGTCACTGATGAGTTTTTTATAGACGAAATGCGCGTATGGCGTGCAAAATTATAGCCTGATATCTTTGATGAGTTTTGTACAAGGAAGCTTTTGCATCAGGGCTCCAAACGGTAAATTGAAGTCATTCCTACGAAACTGTAACGGAAACCTTCACGATTTGGTAAACATTTTTACTGTTTGTGAATTTGCGTGATGCATGCCAGCAGGAGACTCTTCCTCTGTAAACGCATTCGGTCTCGTTCCCTTTTTAGTTGTTGCGATTTCCTCATTTATTGTTCGTGACCTTTTATCTTCTTCATGGATTTATGAGATTTGTTTATTGGTAATTTACTGTTGCCTCTATTTATTGTTCCCAATGAACCTTATCAAGGTTTATTTTAGAAGAATGAGTTGTGCTCATGAACATTATACTATTCTTTTTTGTGCTATGAGGATTCCTAAAAATCCTACTATAACTTCTATCAAAACGACAAGCAATAACCATGTAAACGAAATACTATTTAGAAAACGGAAGACAAAGTAACATGAACTCCATAAGTAACGAGGTGATTTCTAGTGCTAGTTGAGTACTCAGTTCATGCTTTTCAAGTACCGCTCGTCATTTTGCTCATGAAAATTGAAAATCGGTGACACCAAGTGCAGGTATTACGGAATTATGGCTACAATAAGTGGAACATCCGTGGTCATGGTAACAATGATATTCTTTAACAGTCAACCAAGTAACGATAGCGAGCGTCCGTAAAACTTACTTTTGAATTGTTGACTTTAATTTTACCATGAATATCCCTTGGTTTAAATATGCAAATACTTCTGAAATGTGTTGCTATATATAAAATGTTCAGAATAGGAAACGGGAAATGAGGAGATAAAACATTGCAAAACAGGTCTCCTCCTACAAATTGTTTACAAATTTTGTTACTAACCAGCACAAATTAAGCCATTCTTTGTTCACAATAACCTTGTTTAATTTTCATATAGAATGTCCGTAAAAAGAAAAAAAGTATTGCGATTGATTTGAGATGAACTTAAAAGTCATTACAAGTTCGAAATAATTAGTTTAATATAATGTTATATTCATAGGACAATTATAACATGTGCTTTTCATCTTATTGTGAATGATGTCTCCTTAACTTTTCATATTCCTTTTAGTTTATATTCTACCTTGATAACGTCTATATCAATATATAGTATTGAAAAGTAGATAACCCTTTCATAATTAAGTCGGAGACAACAAAAAGTCAAAGGATTTTATATTTACAACAGATTTTAAGTACGTTTTATACATCTGTATTGTATCCTGAAATATTTAGTTGTTCCCTTACAAGGATCTTTGGTTGGTGCATATATGCTGCATGATTGTTTTCCATTACATTCTGTTTTAACATCAGCAAGAATATTTACTGGACCACATGATGTTGTTCCGATGTTTCCCATTGGACATGTTCTCACACTATTCCTCCCATATGTTGCTTGTGTCACATCGATGACTGTGTGTTTTGCTTTGTCACATTTTAACGTGGGATCGTCGTCTATGCATATATGAATATTCATCACTACAAAGAAAAAAAAAACAATGACGTATAATTATAAATATAAGTCGTAACTAAAAGCTATTAGGATCTTGTGTAACTAAGCTAAGGCAAATCTATAATTTTGGAACGAGCGTGTCATCAACAATCCTTTGATAAGCGCTATCAACTTTTTTCAAAAACAATTTCTATTAAATCATTTCCATTGTAGACGGTAACTGTAACTGTCAAAGTATATTAAAAGAATGATTTTAAATTGCATACAATATTGACAATGAAAGCATGCATATATGAATTTAGGAAGACACAAATCACTGTGAACAACACTGATTTAAACCAAATGTACTGAACGGAAAATTTAGAAATGTTGGAGTTCTCCGATACTAAATTAAGGTTACAGTAGTTTACCGTAATCAATCCCAAGAAAATGAGTATGAAGAGAGACAGATCAAGTTAACAAACAAAAGCTGAAGACGCACAAACCCCAAAAGGAGCGAGACTCCGTGAGTCGACAGGGTAAATATATTCTACTATGCATGCATCACTCGCCCCGCTCAATCAAAATGTCATAATTGGGTATAGGCCAACATCGGTAAAATAGTAAAATAACAGATCAGACGACTATACTGGTATTTAAAGATATAACACCACGAAAACATGTCGATAGTGAGTTGAGACATCGACACATCGTATCGGTCAAACAATTCGGGATGGTGACCGTAAAACTTATGTAGTGTCAATTTCAGCTGTTCTTATATATAACTCTGTTGGCGCATTTTATTTTGTGTACACCCCCTGTAAGCGAAATCCGTTTAGTGTGAACACGTTCGACATTTAAGTGTTCAGAGTAATGGCACCCCGATGTGAAACAATAGTCACCCATTATTGTAAGGGGTTTTAAAATAATTGTCAGGTCGATTCATCAATATTTATTGGACATTTGTTTTTGTCAAATGATTTTTTTTTCTAAAACTTAATTTATAAATGCTTCCTATATGTTTGGATACTCTGATTAATTTCAACGAGTTCATAAATACAAAATTTCATAAAATTCGGAAATACCGCAAATTACGAATGCTTTGCCTTATTTCATTATCATTGTCGCTAATGAAAGAGCACAGTAATGTAACATAGATTTATATTCAACCTAAAATGATTTTAATCTTCAAAAAATTGACAGTCTTCAACACGAAAGACAATTGCTTTCAGGTAAGTTTCACCATAGGCAATTGCCAGTAAACATGTATTCCGAAGTGCTTCGCTTACTTTTTTTAGTACCTTTACCAACTCTGCAAAGAAGGATATGCTTACTGTATATTGCTTTCACTATCAATTTGAATGAAACTTCGTCTTACCCATAGCTTTAGTTTAAGCGTTCGCTGTTTCATTGGTAGTTTCATTGTCAATAAAATATGTCAGACAAATATGAATGAGACAGAAAGATTCAATTAAATAAAAAAATGTTAATTATAATCATGTCGATAACCGTTTGGTTGTCATCATGGAAACTGATAGATGTAAATTTGTAATAGTTTCAATAATTCAGGTTAAGTCTATGCAGGATCACAAGAAAGTCGACACATTTTATATCATATTCTTTATCTTGTTTCCCTTATCTTCCCAAACCAGAGACCTCCTGCATGATGGCGTTTAAAAAAACGAATCCTAAGTTTGAGTTATAAATTTATGGAAATGCTGGAAAAGAGGATATATTTTTTCAATAAAAATCGACATAACCAAAGCCGGGGCTGTGTAGACTGGTCGAATGAAATGCGCCTCTAGAATACAGTGTAATTACAGCAATGAAATTACATGTCATTTTTGTTTTTCGTAAATTGTTTTTTTCACATACATTAGGCCGTTAGTTTTCTCGTATTGTTTTACATTTTTCGTGTCGGGGCCTTTTATAGGGTTTAGGTTTCGATCATTGTTGAAGGCCGCACAGTCGCATACAGTTGCTACATTCTACGTCATTTGGTCATTGGTGGAAAATTATCCTGTTGGCAATTATACCATATCTTCTTATGTTTAAATTCTTATGACAATAGATATAAGAAGATGTGGTATGAGTGCCAATGAGACAATTCTCCATCCAAGTCAAAATTTATAAAGTAAACCATTATAGGTCAAAGTACGGTCTTCAACACGGAGACTTGCCTCACACCGAACAGCAAGCTATAAAGGGTCCCAAAAATTACTAGTGTAAAACCATTCAAACGGAAAAACCAACGGTCTAATCTATATAAAAAACGAGAAACGAGAAACACTTATCACGGAACCACATCAACAAACGACAACTACTGAACATCAGATTCCTGACTTAGGACAGTTGCAAACAATTGCAGGTCAATATGATTTTTAATTAGATGTGTCAGTGCAACACGGATTATTCCCTTGCAGGATTGACTTGCGTTGAAATTATCATTGCGATACTTCCGCTGTTATTTTTTTACAGCAACGGATGGTGCAACTAATTTGGTACGTAAGAATAAAGGAGAAAAGAAGAGATATGATTTATTAATTCGTGTCACAAAAACCTAATACGACACAATCTAAGTAAAGAAACAGCGTTTAATATCTGTTCTTTTATCCAAATCACAATGGTGTCTTTGATGTATTTGACAGAACTTTTCGGAATTTTCTGTTTTTATTGTTCCTCAACTTCATCATGTTCATAATTGAGTTGGCCTTCAAACTATTTTGATTCAGTTGCCGCTGATGAGTCCTTTTTAGCCGAAACGCACCTGGCATATCAAATCATAAGCCTAGTATACCGGTATTTGATTTTGTTTTAATAAAAATCACACTTAAAGGCAATTACAAGGAGTCTTCTTGCACAGGTTTGAGCAGAATTCTATTGTAGGTGTATGCAGGTATCGATCACAATAAATCTGTGTATTGAAGACTTACACAGATGCGACTTAAATTTTATAACGCATAATACATATTTTATTTGCGTCAAAATGCGATAAAGTGGTATCAAAGAAGACAACGAAAATATGTTCATATTTTCTGTCATTTATGGTATAATTGTAACCTGTACACGTTGGTAATATTGTAGTGACGCAGTAATATCCGACCATAATTAGCGTTCTTTTGTTACTTGTACCGTTGGCAAGTTAATATTAACAATACAGTGTTATTCTTACCGTCTCCATCGTTATCTGCTGGCATATTTGATTGTGGTGGTTTTGGTGGTGTTGTTGTTGTTAAGAAGCAATTGTCTTCGTCACTACCATCTGAACATTCCTTTTTACCGTTACATTTAGAGGATTCTGATATACAAGATCTATCTGATCTGCATTTAAATTGAGAACGGGAACATCCTAGTAAAACAAAGTTTTGAAGTGTTGGTTAATACAATAAACCTTAAAAGATTTGATAACTCACGAAACTATTAACAACTGTCATACAAGTTGGAGGTTTAGCTAGCTATAAAACCAGGTTTAACCCACAATTTTCTTCGGAAAATGCCTGTACCAATTCAGGAAATTGGCAGTTGTTTTTCACTTATTCCGTTGTTTGATAACGTTTGATTTGGTCAGTTTGTCTGGACCTCCCTTTTTTTAATTTGCTTTGTAGTTCGGTATTTTTGTTATACTTTTTTTTATAAACGCACACAAGCTCGTTGTTCAAACTTAGATGCTCCACGGTTTATTCAAATTTATTTTTGGAGCCTTTTTTGGTCAAACTTAATCAGTACATCATAAAATTTAAAAAGTTTAAAATGGAAAATATAACCATATGTTTAAATGATTATGCAGCTTGGACCATGCATGACTTTCGAATTCAACTTTGGTCACGAGAGTTAATGTGCTCATACTACTTTGCATGCAAAAGTACTCAAACACAGCTGAAAAGCATTATGATGCCTTTATTTGGCGTTAAACTAAAAAAAAATCTATCTATTATGAAATAGTAAACATTATAAGAAAAAAGAAAAGAAATTTTTAAATAACAATTTATGTACAATGAACTAGCTAAATCAGAATCATTTGTTGTCCTTCAAAGTTTAACATGTCTATATCCAACAATATGCGATAAAATTTATCAAATATTTTCACAAAAAGGGAATTTCTGTCTTTAAACAAACCTACAGGTTTTAATAATTAGATACCAGGAATAGTGACATTACAATAGATATGTTTTATAATTACATTACCTATCTTACACTTATATGTTATCTTCAAATATCTCGATTTATCGTGACAGAGGTCAACTAAACCAAAACTGGAAGGCTGAATAGAACATATATGTGTATCGTCACATTGTCTTCTAAGTATGGATAATACAGATTCACATGTTGCTTTGCTTCCTTTTGCGCAAGTTCCCAGATTAGTCTTCCCATGCATAACCTTTACTACCTCGATTACTCTACCATACCTCTTGTAACAACGCAGTTTATGGTCTTCGCTCTGACATAGTGTAAGCGCTTTCCAACGAGGCTTGTCTGCAAAATAAAACGAAAAAAGACGAAGAATTTTAAAACGAAAAATATTCACTCAAAATACCTGTGTTTATAGATATGAAAGGAGTACCTACGAAACTACTAGATAATTTGAAAGGTAGAAAATTCCAAGATATTGGCTTAATAGCATTCATTCCGATTCACAAGTGTTCCAAGCCGGTATTTTCGTATCTTTTTTGTGTCAGTTTGGATTTGTTGATCTCAAAAGTATTAATTTCCTGATGATATTGACACATTTTCTAGTTTACTTTATATTTTAGGCAGGGCATCTGTGACCCATGGACACATTATATCTTCATTAGGGCCCGTATTGAGGATCGGTTGATAATCATCATATTTAGATGTACATGTATTATATGTATTGGTCTTTTGTTGGGCAATGTATGACAAATATGTGTTGAAAAACCTCGCCCGTAATTATAAATTATGTAATTCATTGACCGCTCCCGACATGTGTAACTTGAAAGCATATTTTAGCGGCGATCGATGTCTTTCAAAATTACTGCACTTTTCTTGTATCCCTGTTGCTTTCGACTGGAGAACCGTCGTACACTAGCATCGCAAAAGTTGGCACTCCGAGGCGGGTGGGGAGCAAGAAGGTGAACTGTGGTTTATTTTTATCAATAATACCGCTTAAGTCGACGCTAGGGGCCGTCTTGACCTTGTTGTAGGGTATGAATGATTCGTTCATTGATGAAGACCCTACATCAACTTTCATGATGAAGAACAGGAATATAAGCCCTGTTCATTGATATTTTTTTATTTTCATATATGTATTGTGTGCGATTTTGTCCCATGTACATTTAGTCCATATACTTTTATTTTCTATGTACATCTTTTAAAATTTTTGTTGAAATTAGACATATATAATTGTGGCGCAGGACCCTCTCTGACTTTGTCAGTATTCCAGCTTCTGGCGTTGGTTTTCCCGTTTGAATGGTTATACACTAGTAATTTTTGGGGCCCTTTATAGCTTGCTGTTCGGTGTGAGCCAAGACTCCGTGTTGAAGGCCTTACCTTGACCTATAATGGTTTACTTTTACAAATTGTTACTTGGATGGAGAGTTGTCTCATTGGCACTCATACCACATCTTCCTCTATTTAATCTCCTTAAAAATTCTAATGTGGCTAAATTGAGTTTAGTGGCTAATAATAATGCTGCTTAATAAATCAATTTACTGTATTATTTCAGATGGATCCCTAGACAGATAAATATATCGAGATAACGATTAAATTATATCGATATAACGATATAATTATATCGAGATAACGAAATAAATATATCATATAACAATATGAATATCGAGATAACGATATAAATATATCGACATAACGATATAATGATATCGATATTACGAAATAAATATATCGATATAACGATATAACTATATCGAGATAACGATTTAATTATATCGAAATAACGATATATATATAGAGATAAGGATATAATTTTATTTGTTTAGGTACCCTATGGGCTTCCGTACTTATACACATAATAGCAATAAAATCATTGGAAGATCATTGATGTCCAAGTAATCCGTTAATTTATCAAATGTAGAATATGGCGAATTATTTTTTGAGGGAAAACAAATTCTAAAGGTTCAAAGAACACAATGAATTCGGGCAACTCGATAAAATGGAAAAAGAAAATAGGTACTACGAAATCTCATCAGGTGTTTTTTTTTTGGGTAAGACTTATCTGCTTCGTTTGTGACACCTGACTTTATTATATATAAGGGTTAATGTAAATAATTAGGAGAGAGGACTGTTTAAATACACGAATAGTGTAAAAGAAACATTTGTAATAAAAAAGTCATTGGTTAATAACTAAAGTTTACAAAAATTCAAAACATAATGCATCAGCATTAAAAAAACAACATATTTTAAAGACTGAACTCTTATCATTTACCCCAAACATTGATATTATTTTAATTAAATGTTTCTCAGCGCTTTAAACGGAGAGATTTAGAGTTATGCCACTTCTAATATTTTTGTTAGTTTGTTGTTATAGTTAATATCGCGTTCTCCTACCAAATACATGTTGATTATCGACACACAGCCTTACCTTTATTTACTATTGCTGGTGATGATGCCGGTTTTATCGAAACACATTTATATTGCAGCTCTAAATACTTTGTAAATCCCGGGCAAGGATTACCAAACTTGTTATTGTCTGCGGACAATGAGCATTCTCTTTTACCATCACATAGTGTTCTTAACTTCTCTTCAACGCCAGAGGCACTGCATTTTGTATTTCCGACATTACCGACGAAACATGTGACTTTATTACTTCGTCCGAAAAATCCTTTAGTAATATATATGTCCTGGTTTTGAGGACAAATAAGTTTTGCTTCATAATTCTGACAAAGAACTAACTTTGTAGGGTAATCTGAAAAATATCTTACCGTTTTACAACTGTGCAGGTTAAGTACAAAATCATAAAATATAAAAATTCTGTTCTTTTATGAATGCTTGATTTCAAGGAAATTGTTTATAGTGTATAATATGGACCACTTTAAGGAGATGTAATTTGTAAAGATTGCTAACGATATAAGATTATTTGATTGATTGATTTATTGACTGTTGCTGAACCTCCCGTGGCAAATATATTCAAGAAAGTTACACGTTAATGTATAATGAATATACAATGTTTGGTACTAAAACACGCTAGGCTGAATCAGATTTTCAACGTACTAACTCACACATGGTAACATGTCACAAGAAGACATATTACCCTACCTCGACATTTTCATACTTTTTGTATTATTTCTTCTTTTCACAATTAATCATATTTTATGTGGCAGTAAAAAAAGAAGATCAACGGCAGTCTATTTTAAAAAAATGTTTGATTCATAAATACATTTTCTTAGATTTTATTTTATTCAAACTTTCGTAATTGTCAACAAATTGTACGAATAAGTGACTGAATGTTTTTTGACTTGCAGTTGTTAATACAACATACATAAGTAGATCGGTAATTTGTCAAAACATCATGTGAGTTTACCATGTTTTGGGCAAAGGACTGATAAACTGAGTAAGATATCATATGTACTAACAAGAATTCAGTCAACATGAAGACATGCCAACCTACCGGTTTCAATATCATCACTTAAATCCGACCAGTTTGTGCTCTTACTCCTAAAATGCCGCATACTTGGTGAAAAGTAGCAAATAACAATTTTGAAGTCTTAGTCTCGATTTTGGAATCAAATCCTTCCACGATTCCACAGCGTAGATGATTAACGCTACTGAAACTAAACAGTAACGAAGTTCTATCGGCATAATCGGTTTACATCTAGCATCGAAAAATATATTTAAGGACACCCATGAATAAGCATAATTATCTTATTTGCATTTCTTATAAACTAGACATACCTTTGCATCTGTACGTAACATTCAGGTAATTTGCCGTATTAGTACACTCATTCCCAAAAGTAGAACTTTTAGCCTCAAGTTCGCAACTTTGCCTGCGGAAACATTTTTGTGTGACGGCTGATTTTGCTCCTGATTCACAGTTTTCGTTTTTCCATCCTGCCTTTAGGCAAGTAGTGCTATCTCTACGACCGAAGTAAGCATTGACTACAACGATTTCCCGGCCTTTGCAATCTATGGTTGATTTCTCATTCTCACAAATGACCTTCGCCACATCTAAATTATAAATAAAATATTATCTTTTCTGATTTATTCTTCACAAAAAAGTTGTAGATATCAAAATTCCACCTGTTTGTAGATTTTTTGCCAAATTGTTTTTTCTTGTAATTTGGATAAATATTACAAAGAATTTAAAAAAATGCTCCATATCTTGAAGTATAATTGATAGAAAATTCTTGTGATAGAATGCGAATTGAATAAATAGAACTTTCTTCAGTTTTCTTATTGCAAACTTTCCGAACATAAACGTTCTTATTTCGGTTTATCATTGCGGTGCGATTATAACCTTTTATTATTGTGGCACGAATATAAACTTTTATCATTGCGGTGCGATTATTACCTTTTATCATTGTAACGATTATATAACCTTTAATCATTGCGGTACGATTATAACCTTTTATCATTGTGGTACGACTATAACCCTTTATTATTGCGGTACGATTATAACTCTTTATCATTGTGGTACGATTATAACCCTTTATCATTGTGGCACGATTATAACCTTTTATCATTGTGGTACGACTATAACCTTTTATCATTGTGGTACGATTATTATCTTTTATCATTGTGGTACGATTGTTACCTTTTATCATTTGGTACGATTATTACCTTTTATTATTGTGGTATGATTATAACCTTTCATCGTTGCGGTACAATTATAACCTTTCATCATTGTGGTACGATTATAACCTTTTATCATTGTGGTACGATTATAACCTTTTATCGTTGCGGTACGATTATAACCTTTTATCGTTGTGGTACGATTATTACCTTTTATCGTTGTGGTACGATTATTACCTTTTATAATTGTGGTACGATTATAACTTTTTATCATTGCGGTATGATTGTAATCTTTTATTGTTTCGGTACGATTATAACCTTTTATCATTGCGGTACGATTATAACCTTTTATCATTGTGATATGATTATTACCTTTTATCATTTTGGTACGATTATAACTTTAATCATTGTGGTACGATTATAACCTTTTGTCATTGTGGTACGATTGTAACCTTTTATCGTTTCGATACGATTATAACCTTTTATCATTGTGGTACGATTATTACCTTTTATCATTGTAGCGATTATAATCTTTTATCATTGCGGTACGATTATTATCTTTTATCATAGTGGTACGATTATAACCTTTTATCATTGCGGTACGATTATTACCTTTTATCATTGTAACGATGATAACCTTTTATCATTGCGGTACGATTATAACCTTTTATCGTTGCGGTAGGAGTAATCTTGTATATTCCCTGCTTTTTATGGTCTTAAACATTACTTCTTTTATGCATTTTCGTAGATGAAAAATTCTAAGCGTTACTGTGACGAACAGCACAGAACTTGGCGTCTAAGTCCTTCCTGGTGCTAACTGCACGTCTTTTAAGAATTTTGTTTAGCCCAGTAAAGAAATTAAAAGTATTTTGAACTATCATATTCTTTTTGACAAAATACTTTTATGGAAAAAATGATTTCAGATATACTAAGATATTTAAAAGCAGTAAAACTGCAGATTAACATGAATATTTGGGTTTCAAAAATTACCATTTACACTATAGTTTTCGTTGAAGCACCTATTTAACTGTAAAAAAACCAAATACATCTTATCCAAAAACAGTCGAGAGCTGCGACCTTTCTTTTATAAATTTATTTTAACAAATAGTAAGAATTTGAATACCTTTATTACAAAAAACTTAAAAAAAAACTATTTAAAAATAGTCACTAGATTTGGTGATAAATCTCGAGAAATAATTGCCACATTTGCAAGTTACACAGTTACATCACATTTTTTTTCTTTTGATGTTGATAATGGGGAAATAGACCAATCACAAATGTTTTAAAAACTGGTAACTTGTGTTTTTTGTAAAGAAACATACTGAGTAATTACTATGACTTTATTGAATAATTTCAGATGGTTAAATTTGTTTGCCGTCATATCTATACACTTGTTTTAAAAGTCTGTATCTTCATCAAATATATTAATCCACAAAATCAATATTATTAGATATTATTTTAGAGATCTCATCCTTCTTCTTGTTTGTTTTATCTATCATTAAAATAGCAAAAGGTTGATTAAAGAACATACGATAAAAATCAGTACAGTCATTAATTCTAGCTATCATCTCTCTTTGATAGCAGGCCCATTTTCCTAGACCTTTTCTGTAAAATTGTTTTTATTTAAGGTTCTACATTTGTAGATATTTTATTACTAGAATTATTAATAATTACACTGACCTTGGCTTGTCATTATCATTGTTTGTAGAAGAAGAATACAAACTATCTCAAATTTGTAATCCATGGTGGTGTATTGCAATCGATTTTACACTATAAGAGAAAGGAATTAAAAACAAATATCAACCCGTCATTTTATGAGCCATTTTTTTGCTGTATTTAATTTAATAAGAGGAAGTGTAATACGCAAGTCTTTAATATGCACATTGTAGTTATTGTAATCTGGTAAAACATGTTACAAATATGATTGTATATATAATATATTTTACATACAATTGTAAAAATATTTGATGAGATTACCCATTACATGTGAAATTAAGTCATTTTTTTCTTCATATATTAATACTTTGATTAGATTTGATAAAGTTAGAAAAAAGTATTGCACCATGTACGCTAAGAAATAAAAGTGCATTTTAATTAAGTTAAATACTTCCATTCATTCCAATGCTTTATGACGGGAAGCAAGATTTGTAGATATTGCACGGATTTGATTGACATTTATCTTATTTATTTTACATGTACCAATTAACTACATCACAAACTTTGTAGATTTTTTTATCGAATACACAAGCATAATTATGCACAACACGATGTGTCATGTATTGTTTAAAACCATTCCAAATAGAAATCATAGAATTTAGAAAAGAAAGAAAAGAAAAAACAAACACGTAAATTTATATAAATTAGACCGTTGATTTTCCTGTTTGAATGGTTTTACACTAGTCATTTTTTGGGCCCTTTATAGCTTGCTGTTCGGTGTGAGCCAAGGCAGCGTGTTGAAGGCCGTACTTTGACCTATTATGGTTTACTTTTACAAATTGTGACTTGGATGGAGAGTTGTCTCATTGGCACTCATACCACATCTTCTTATATCTATGATAGAACATCATTTACTTCTTCCAAAAAAAAGTCTAAGAGAGCATGTAGATAATTTGCTCTGAATTAATTTTGCTTATTTTAATTATCAACTAGATTCCATTGTAATTAACATAACAGTTTGATTGATATTAACTACAATTTAAAGAATCATGAAATGTTCATTTTGCAGAAGTAATCGCTTTATTTCTACATGAATGCGTCATTGGTTATCAAATATTTATGATTATTAATGTTAATATTCATGATTATTTATATTTATACAACTGGGTTCTCAAAATAACGATGCGAATTCTACATTTGGGATTTTTTTCAGTTCTTATTTTAAGCCAATTAGAATTTTTGACAGGTAGGAATGACAGTAACTTAATGAAAGTCTCAGAAAATTAATTGCAATACTCCGAGAGGAGAACATTGGTAAAATATATGTGAAATAACAAAAATTTACGAAGACTAAAAATAAAAATCAATGTAGAAAATATTCAAATAACAATTGTTCTAGAATTAAAAACATCTAGTGTTAATCATATAATTTTTAAAAGAGATTTGGTTGTTCTCCGGGTTTCACATGGAATCTATATGCGCCAATGCTTATAAGTATTTTCATCATTGTATACTTATTTTATCAAAGGTGTGTGTATGTGTTTATATCAAAGGTGTACGTATATGAATTGTAGAATATTGACATTCCCCTCTTTCAGCAAAAACTCGCACCATTTGCAAGACCAATCGAATTGTTTGCAAAAAGGAAAGAATTATAAAAGTTACAGAGGCAACCTTTGGTCGGTTTGGAAGGAAAAGGCGCAAAAAAAAGATAACTTGTGGAACTAAAAACAATTTTCTTAGTGAAGTTAAAGAACTTTGTGATGAGAATACATCGTGTTTATTAGACACATCTGTCCCCGTATTTAAAAAACCATGCCCTGGATCAGCTGTGTGTTTACGTGTTACATGGAGATGCAAAAAGAAACAAGGTGAAGAATGATTTTAAAGGAATTGTGAAACATATCAGTTTGTATATAGTTACTCTCTTTTAAATATTGAAACACATTCTTGAAATAGAGAAGAAAGTAAAAAAATCATACTTACCTTAAATTATTAGTCAAAAGGAATTTACTTCATCAAGTACACTGATGGCCAAAATTTTGGAAAACCAAGCCAACACTATGGAATTGTCTGAAATAAAAAAATAAATAAAACTGTAATATGGTAGTAAAATTTGGTTGCAATATATTTCATTTATTTCAAACTATATAATGTAATGCACACTTTACAGTTGTGAACCCGAATGCCTGGGCTAAAACTAGAGGTAAATTTTACCGTAGCTTGTTTGTATTAGGTAATTCAGGCGAAAAGGCAGTTTGGATTAAACTTAAAGGTATCATTTAGTAAAAGATATGTCAGGCGACATGCTTTAGGTTAAGACTAGAGGTATCTGGTTTTGTAAAAGGTATGCCAGGCTTCACACATTGGAATAAAATTAGAGGTATCTTGTGTAGATATATGTCTATTGTCGAAGTCCTTATGCTAACCTCTAGGTGTCTCTTCCGTATACCCAGCATCTCCTTTAATTCATACTTATTTAACATACCACACTCACTGTCCTTATTGCTAGTTGTTTCCAGTGTAAACCATTGTATCTTATATTTTCGATAAGCTATGAGTAACAGATGCTTGACGTAGTGGTCAAGAGCATGCATCGGTAACAGTCATAACGACTTTCTAGGATTCACGATGCAGAAATAATGTTAGAAGAGTAAGTTATTTTCATAAGCAGATTCTCGCTTTTGTTTAGCAGTTCTGTTATCAAAATGGTTGTTGCTTGAGAAGGTTTGAAATTTCGGCTTTAAATATGAAATGTCCCTTTATATCTCGATTCATTTCAATCATATTTAGATTTTATACGATATTTAATATTACTTTCTCAAAATATTTTTTTCTAAAGCTCGGAATGAAATATTGTTTATATAATACATGTAGTATCTTGCCATAAGTTGTTCACACCACTAAGTAAGAGTACATGAAAAAATAAACACTAAAAAATATTTAAAAAAAATAATGCATTTGCCTTCTTTCATACTTAATCTCTTGCACTTACAATGCTTTTTAAGGAATGACTGTAATATTTTTTCTTTCTATGAAGAAATAACATCAAAAATGTGGTGCACACTGAATAATCCGCGTAGCTGGTTATTCAAAAGTGTTCAACACATTTTTTAGGTTATTTCGAATAGACAGAAAAAAATATTACAGTCATTCCTTATAATTAGTCCCCTACCGACGAAGTCCGTCCGTCTGTCTGTCTGTCTGTCTGTCTGTCTGTCTGGCCGGCAAATCAGTTTTCCACACTTTTTTTCTTCATGCTTAAAGATATTGATTTGATATTTGATGTATAGTTTTATCATGACAAGTTACAGATCAAGATCGAATTTTGTTCCGGTTTGATGATTTGGTGCAGAGTTATCGTCCTTTGACTTAGAAAATTCACTAAAATAATCAGTTTTCCGCATTTTTTTTGTCATTCTTAAAGATATTGATTTGATAATTGGTATATAGTTTTATCATGACAAGTTACAGTTCAAGTTTGAATTTTGTTCAGGTCTGATGATTTTGTGGAGAGTTATGGTCCTTGGACTTAGAAAATTTACTCAAATAATCAGTTTTCCGCCCTTTTTTTTCGTCATGCTTGAAGATATTGATTTGAAAATTGGTACATGTGTATATAGTTTTATCATGACAAGTTACAGATCAAATGCGAATTTTGTTCCGGTCTGATGATTTTGTGCAGAGTTATGGTCCTTCACTTAAATAATCAGTTTTCAACACTTTTTTTTCCCTCATGCTTGAAGATATTGACTTGATATTTGTTATATAGTTTACACCATGACAAGTTATAGATCAAGTAAGAATTTTGTTCCAATACAATGCATTTTTAACCAGTAGGGGACTATGTATTGCCATGCAATACTCACAGAATGCTTGTTTAATTCAAAATTCCATTTTTAAGTAGTAAAATACAAAAAAAAACGTTGATGACCTCATGGTCACATGACAAAATTTTGTCTATGAGCTGATAGATAAAAAAAAACGTATAGCCAATCAGAAGACGTATTACATCCAAAATTGAATTATCTAAGAAATATCCTCATAATTTCTCATATTCTACAAGGTTTACGAGTCGATATCTTAAAACCACGGAATGCATGAGATTTTGAATTTGAGAAATTAAACTTTCTCGTAGGATCAACTGAAGCAATTTTTTATTTATTCAAAATTTCTATTTGCAGTGTTTCTTGTATATTTTGTGCATGTACCTTAATTATGCAAAAATATCAATAAAATCATACATTCAAAATTAAATCTTCAAATGAAAGTAATGCTTATTTTCTTATGTTGAGTATATTGAGCATATTGAAACTTCCTTAAACATTTCATACAAGTATATAAACAAGTTAATACTCAGCCGTTTAATTTAATTATTTCATACAACACCAAACCTTTATAAAATCATTATAAGTCTCCGATAGAGATTACATTTAGTAATTTTAATGTAAATGACGTCTGTAAAACTTGATAAAAATCCTATTCTGTAAGACATGAAACAAGCTATTAAGGTTGTAATATTGATGATATTGAGCTCTGTGGACAGCGAAGGTAAGAAAAATAGAATAACAATACATTACAAAAAGCAGGGTAGCAAAAAAACATAATTACCCTTCTTCATAAAATTCCAAAATGCATGTAAAAAGTATAATAACAAAAATACCGAACTCCGAGGAAAATTATAAACGGAAAGTTCCTAAGCAAATGGCAAAATCAAAAGCTCAAACACATCAAACGAAAGGATAACAACTGTCATATTCCTGACTTGGTACAGGCAATTTCTTATGTAGAAATTGGTGGATTAAACCTGGTTTTATAGCTAGCTAAACCTCTCACTTGAATGACAGTCGTATAAATTTCCATTATATTGACAATGATATGTGAACAAAACAAACAGACATAAAGACGGGAGGTATAAATAGTGTCCGGTTGAGATCGTGTTTTTTTCGAGAGAATCGGTTCATTTTTTTCGAGTGTAGATCAGGTTTCTTCGAGTGATATTACATGCGATCAGATAGATTTACTGCTATTTTGCGACTATAATAGTTTTATTCGTTACTCTTCATCTTATTCTGAATGCTATACATGTTTTGAGCACAAATGACGCTCAATTTCCTTGTAGTTCACTAACAATTCAGTGTTTTATATTGTCCGTGTTTTTTCGAGAGCAACATTTAAAACGTCCGGATTTTTCAACAGATGGTCCGGGTTTTTAAATAAAAATGTGAATAAAAAAGAAACATTCCAGGGCTTAAAACTGACTTTTTCTAGTTTGTAACTGTAATTAAGCGATGGACAATATTATGTCTTCTTAATAAGTCCCAAAAACATATTACTATGTTGATCAAATTTAACCCTTTTCAATTTAATGATAACTTTTTGTTCTGAAAACATTTTTATCATAATCTTGCAATATTATGATATCAAAGTAATCATTGGGTCGCTTTTAAATCGGTTTTTAGAACCGAATACACGGACTCATAATATTTTCAATTTCATTTCATGCTACCTTTGATTTTTTTAAATCAATTATACTTTTTTATTTGATAACAGTGACGAAAAAAAAACATAGGAGCAAGAAAACTAAGCAACAGCAGTAAAAATCAGAAAAAAATCAATAAAAACCAAAATATTCTACTCAAAGAGCCCCCCCCCCCCCCCCCCCCTAAAAAAATACAATAACATTTGAATTGAATGGAATGGAATATATAACAAATTAACAATAAATCCAAAAGGTAGGTCCTGCAACCGAGGATGTTCGGGATGAAGGTCGGGAAATTTAGACTCACTGAAAATTAGGGTATATTGGATATGGACAGATATTTTGCCTTGCAACAAGCCACCTATTGACCCCTTATCTTGCAGTGAGCATGAAACTCTCTCTTTACGCCCCATTCTGACCGGATCTGGCTGTGTACTTTGGCTAGGGATTTACTGCCGGTCGGAAGAGGACCTAAGTAGGTATAAGAAGATGTGGTATGAGTGCCAATGAGACAACTCTCCATCCAAGTCACAATTTATAAAAGTAAACCATTATAGGTCAAAGTACGGTCTTCAACAAGGAGCCTTGGCTCACACCGAACAGGAAGCTATAAAGGGCCTCAAAATAACTAGTGTAAAACCATTCAAACGGGAAAACCAACGGTCTAATCTATATATAAAAAACGAGAAACGAGAAACACTTATGAACCACATCAACAAACGACAACTACTGAACATCAGATTCCTGACTTAGGACAGGTGCAAACAATTCCAGCGGGTTTAAACGGTTTTAATGGTACCAAATCTTCACCCTTATCTGAAACAATAGTGTTACATCACAACATAGAAAGACACACTATAAAATATCAATTGAAATGGCTTAACTCAATCAAAAGACATATTAACACAAGTGAACATACACTGAACAAATAAATTTGATCTAGTGACCATTTTTATATTCCACAGTCACCCTTCGAGGTAAACAATTTTAGAAAGGTTTGTTATAAATCATGGATGATTAACTTGGGGATTTATCCGATGTATTTGATAAATAACGGAATAAATAATTTGTAAGCTTTAATACGATCCTTTTGAAATAATAAAGAAAAACGAAATGTGTATAAAATATTCGTACACCTCACAAATATACATTGTCAATTTTTATTCCTTTAATTTCTGATGGATGAAGCTATGTTGGTGATTTATTCCTGTGTGACCAAGCATATGCTATGCTTGATCAGACCTCTCTTCACAGTAGGAGCATTTGAACATTGTTTTTGATTTCCATTTCTAGAACGATAAAACATATTACCACCAAGATACATAGTAAATGAAACATTTAGGATGTATTTTCCGTTAAAAAACACACATTTACCCTCATTACAAACTATGTTCTATGGTCGGATTGTTGTCTCTTTGACACATTCCCAATTTCCATTCTCAATTTTATGTGTACTTACGTCTCAATCCAACATGTCTGAGCTAACAGAAAGATTGTTTACATCACGAAATATTTACCGTATGAAATCCATTTCGGTACACTAACATGAAAATTACTGGATACAAATGAACGATGCCTTTTGTGAAATGTAAGTGTTAATACAGCATTATCAAACTGGTTTAATGCATTGTTTCGTGCTTTGAAAAATACTTTATTTGGACCTTTTCATTGTTTTTAAACTTGAATCACCGACATACGTATTACATTTTAAGGCGTAGGATTTTGTTCACTCGATAAAACAAGCTTGGACGCACTCAAAAAAAAAAAACACGGACTGCTCTCGAAAAAACGCGGACATGTAAACATGAATTTACTCTCCAAATTGTTCTTTTCAATGCAAAAACAAGAATTCTTGTAAAGTATCTGTCTATCTAAGTATATATAGATTCCATGTATGCGTTTCCGTTGACATTTGCATTGGTATGTGTACAAAAAATGGCTTTATAATCCTTATTTTGAAATAAAGCATTATAAAGCTAAATTAAACGCTTTTAAAACAAAATAATGTAGGGTTGTTAATATATTTTTATCACAAATACTAATTTACCTTCTATAATCTTGTATATAAGGTTCTGGCATCTTTTTTTTCGTCTAACCAGGAAGGTAGTCTGTTTGTTTACATTCACTCGAAAAAACGTGTTCACACCCGAAAAAAACCCGATCAAATCACTCGAAAAAACACGATCCCAGCCGAACACTATACCTACTGCGGTAAAACTATTCAAATAACTTAAGGAGATTATAAGCAAGCATTGATATTTTATGTATTCTAACTTAATTTAGTTTTGTTCCAAAGAAAATTAGTTTGTTTATGTACTTGATTATTTTTCTTTTGATTTGAGGAAACAGTTTAAAGAACTGCATATTTACAGTGGACATCCTACTGTCTTTTATTTCTAAGAGGAGTGAAATGAAACATTACACCTTCCCATGTTATTCTAATTTTCTGGGTTTAGAACTTCGTCTCTTAGCGTAGCGTGTCATATTAAGATCAATTCCGACACATCGATTCGTTCGCCGCTATTAACATTGATTTGGTGTCGTAAAATGATATTTTGTTTCAGGAGCAATTCGCCCTGTAATAATATGTCAAGGCGAAGAAAGAAAGATACAGTGCAAAGAAAGTACTATTATAATAATAAATTCAGCAACTTTCGGTAGGAGAACCTTAACCACATGCCCACGATTTGGCATATGGAAACAATTCTGTGGTAAACAAAACAATGTGCTTAAAAAGGTTAAGATGCAATGTGATGGAACAAATTTTTGTTCTTTGAGGGCATCGACTAAGGACTATGCTCATCCATGCCAAGGCATCCCTGTTTATTTGAATATTCGATACACCTGCATCAGTGGTGAGTTTTTAACCTATACAACGTACATTAGTTTATTGTGGGTTACTGACAATTATATATATATATATATATATAGGACTCGGAGGTGCGATGGGACACTGAAGCGCGATGGTCACGCTGAAGTGCAATGGTCTGCGCCAAAGTGCGATGGTCCTTTCGCTGATGTGCGATGGTCTATAAGACGCGTGATGGCTAGTTTAGAATTTACAGATGTTCAATTATTACGAGAGTTTGATTTTTTTATAAGTTGGTATACAAATACCAAACGTTCAATATTTTTTCCAGCTGCAGTAAAAACATCGGCGATCTATCTTATTCATTGTTCTGATTCACAGCAGCTGTATAGATTTTACGCTTATTTTGTCTGACTAACCAATGTTTTCAGTCAGTGCAGTTGGTATTGGTTTTAAAGGAAAATAGCTTTTGTATGTAGTCTCAATTTCTGAACGATTGTATGAACGACTGTTACTTGTCTAAGCTATTTACAAAGTATAATGTACACTACACCGTCACAGTGAGGACTGAAAATCCAATGACTATTTATCATGACTGTTTTGAATTAAACGGGTTATACTCTCGATAATTTACATAAAAAAAACGAAAAGCTACTTCTAACAAACAAATTGAGTTCTACATTGACATGTGAACATGAAAAACATTAAAAATATGATCCATCGCACATCAGCGTAACCACCATTTCACATCGGCGTAGCTATCAACAAAACAGCGTCACAATGCCACCATCGCACTTCGGCGTGATCATAAACGCACTTCAGCGTTAAACCATCGCACATCAGCGTGACCACTGCGGTTCAGAGTACCATCGCGGTTCAGAGTCCTACATATATATATATTATATTTTTTCACTCAACAGGTCCAAAGGGTCAATGTGAACTTACTTCATCATTCTACACCTTCTTCAATCGTCTAGTACATCGTTTGGTGTCATGTGAACTTACTTCATCATTCCACACCTTCTTCAATAGTCTAGTACGTCGTTTGGTGTCATGTGAACTTACTTCATCATTCTACACCATCTTCAATCGTCTAGTACGTCGTTTGGTGTTATGTGAACTTACTTCATCATTCTACACCTTCTTCAATAGTCTAGTACGTCGTTTGGTGTCATGTGAACTTACTTCATCATTCTACACCATCTTCAATCGTCTAGTACGTCGTTTGATGTCATGTGAACTTACTTTCATCATTCTACACCTTCTACTACCTTCTAGTACGTCGTTTTGGCGTCTTAAATGAAAGAAGATAAATTGAAAAAACTTCCCAAAGATCATTAGACTAATTTGAACCAAACTATTACAATTTAAAGGATTTATCGATTCATAATTTATTCTGAAATGCCGGAGACCTAATATGGCTGTCATTAAGTAAGAATATGATAGTTTTCTTTCCCGTGTTCCTTATTAGTAGATCTAATATTTTGTTTAAAATCATATAATGAGTAGTGTAACTCAAATAACATCACTAATCTGTTTTCTTGAGGAGGCCTTATTCAGAAATTATAACATACAAGAACAAGAAATATCCTTAAAGTGATAAGTTTCTGTCCTGTTTCCCTATAGCCTTGCAGATACATGTTCTGTGCTGATATGCATTTGTGTAAGTCTTTTTAGCAGATAGAAAACTGATTGTTATGTTCCTTTTGTAGTTGTGGAATGTCGTACAGTGCTTTATGTTCCTTTTATTGTTGTGGCATTTCGTACATTGATTTATAATTGGTTATATCCTTGTCATGTTAGATAGTTGTCTCATTGGCAACCATACCACATCTCATTATCTTTTTATTAATGTGTCACAGTATGTAATTCAATGTTTACCATGGGTTTGCTGTTTGTCGGTACTGTTTTTCGTTTATTGTGTTTAGCATAAATCAGGCCGTTGGTTTTCTCTTTTGATATTTTGGATATTTTGTCATCCCGGGCCTTTTATAGCTTACTATATGATATGGGTTTGCTCATTCAAGGGTGTACGGTAACCTGTAGTAGTTTTCATCCTTGTCTTTTGTCATTTTTAGATAATTGTCTCATTGTCTTTTTATTGTTTTATAGTTTTCAAAAGGATTCATTTTGATTAATGCTTTTCGTTGAAATGAATGAGATGTTTTTTTCTTCAAGTAATGACGTGATCTTTAACTCTTTTTTAACATTTGAACAACCTAACATTACTAGCCGATACATACATCTAAGGTATGGATTAGGCATTTCTACACTAGGTGTTTCAAAGTAAGATTCCATTTCATGCAACAGGCATTTTGATTGTGATGGACAGAACAACTGCTGAACTAGGGTAAAGAAAACTTAAAGCGTTAACAATTCAAATAACTTGTGTACTAGTATTTATTTTTCTATGACTAATTCTTTTTTTTTCGGTTGGTGACTATACATGTATTTTTTTTCTATGATTAATTCTTTTTTTTTTCGGTTGGTGACTATACATGTTTATATTTAATTTGTTCTCCGTTTTATGGAAATAATTGAAGTAATAGTGTATCATAATTCATAATTCAAGTAACTGGTACCACTGAAACGCATCATATGGACTAAATGTATGAACAAGGCGTTTGTTCCTTTTATTTAAACCATTTCTACCGATTTGCTGAGATTAAAAGCTTGTGAAACTATATCACCGTATAGGCTGCTCATGAAAAAAACAACCCAAAACAAAACAAGCGTTTCACCTCAACAAATCGGTAGAAAAGGTTTTACTGAAAGGAAATCCTACCTTGTTGATTATTTTCGTCCAAACGCTTAGTTTCAGAGGTACCTAATTTTCAGTTCGATGACACTCAATGAAAATCGCATCTATTTAGAGTAAAGAACTACATCCTTTTTTTTATGATACTCTATTATTCAGATCACAAGATAAACATATAAAATACCATATTCATGTAAATACATAAGTGCACAAATGCATATCATGAAAATACAACAAAGTCCTGATAATTAAGAACCAAAACACCTAATTGTGGCACAACATCGGATGTAATCTTACCTTTATTACCTTTTTTATTTTTTTTGGGAGGCGGGCGCCGGGTGCACCCCTTCTGCATCCGCACCTGTGTTATATCTGTTTTTCGTTTATTGTTGGTCATAGATCAGACTGCTTGATTTTGTTTGTTTGAATTGATTCACATTTTGCCATATGGTGGCCTTTTATAGAAGAGAGGCGAAAGATACCGAAGGACATTCAAACTCATAAGTCGAAAATAAACTGACAACGCCTAGGCTGAAAAAGAAAAGACAAACAGACAAGCAACAGTACACGAAACACAAAACACAACATAGAAAACTAAAGACTGAGCAACACGAACCCCACCAAAAACTAGGGGTGATCTCAGGTGCTTCGGAAGGATAAGCAGATCCTGCTCCACATGTGGCATCCGTCGTGTTGATCATGTTAGTACAAGCCCGGTGATGAGTCTAATTCGGTAGGTCATATTCGGGGAAAAGGGGACGGGATTGTAGTTGCGACAATTGGAACATATCCGTTGCCTTCATAATTCATAACTTCATATTCCGTAACGGTCAACCAACTCGTGATGGGGTCCGTAAAACTTACGAAGGGATGATTTCAACTTCACCACTTGGAACTCTTGGTTTAATGGCTTCCTAGTGAGCAGCAACCCTCTATCAAGGAAATCATGATAGGAAGTACAAGCCATGGAATATCGTATCAACTGGGAGATATATACTCCGTATGCAGGCGCTGCTTGAATGTTGCTTCATACTAATAGAAAGTTCACAATTTGGAAGCTGAAATCATCTCTTTCGTCGTACAGTTTTGTTTTCAACCGACCCTCATTGTCAATTTCTAGATGTAAATCAAGATATTAGGCAGACTTAACTGTATCTGTTGTATCCTTTATCTCAAGTTCGATGGGATAGATGCGTTCAAGATAGTCATGTTTTTAATTATTTAGTGAGAGAATATCATCTATATAGCGGAAAGTGGAGTTAAAGGATACTGTTAACTTCCTGTATGAAGTCAGCCTCATATGAATAAAGGAACAAGTCGGCAAGAAGAGGAGCACAGTTGGTTCCCATCGGAATGCCGATTAGTTGTTGAAAAAACTCGTCCTCTAAACGCAACAAATATGTTGTCAATCATGAATCAAAATCTTGATGATGTCAGTTTCAGAGAATTTTTTGTTTGAATCAGAGTGATTTTTTACAAAGAACGATTTATCCCTCCCTAAGACAAGATACTTGTATCTACGTTGGCCATTTTTTATGAAACAAAGCAGGACCAACTCTTTCAATTTGTCTTTTAGATATGAATGGGGAATACTTGTGTAAAGTTTGAAAAAGTTAAATATTTTAATACTATTGGAAGATAATAGAGTCTTAGATTGTATGTACTCTAAAAGATTTTTGGAATTTTTTAGTATCCACATCTGATTCAAGCCACCTCTAGAATAGGTAGTTTCATAATAACCTTGAAGCCCGGCTTTGATTGCTGATAAAATTGATGTTAATAACTTAAAAGAGGTTTCGTGGTACACTTGGAAGACCCAGCAATATAACGTTGTTTGTAAGGGAACTTATGTAGTTTCGGTATCCAATACAGTGAAGGAAAATTCAGTTCTTCATCTTTGGTTGAAACTCCAAAGAAACATAAAACAGACCTATGATTATCCAGGATTTCCTCCTTTGTAAGTGTTGTGGGGGTATAGATAGCTGACTATACGTTTTGAGTTTTTGCTAATTGTTGAAGGCCATGCGGTGAACTATAATTGCTTAAGTCCATGTTATTTGAACTCTGTTGGATAATTGTCTCATTAGCAATCGTACCACATCTTCTTATATCATATATATTCTAAATTGCACATGTACCACCTTTCTATGTGCCAATTTTCAACCAATGTTTAAAATCGTGCAGTGACACATGACGTTTCGACGATTTGGACGCAACAAATTTATAACGTGTTGTTTTCATTTTTTTCGGAAGGCAATCTGGTTTTTCTGAAAATCTTGAACATTCAAACTATACATGACGCCTACCGTTAACTTGTCATTAACATTTCTGGACAAATGGGTTCAAAATGGGCCACATAAATTTCTCTTTCAGCATAGCAAGGTTTCAATTATGCAAATTTATTGGCTAGTTTAAGTAAACAACAATATTAAAAGCACTATGTTTTGTCAAAGTAGGACTATGTTTACATATGTTCTAAATGCTGATTGGTAAAATTGTTGGTGTGACCATAAATCCATCTTATACAGGAATAGTTTATCGATTTGTTCATAACTTTATAATCGGAAATGTCAACAATTGTGGAATGTATTTTGGTCATTTGCTAAGGCCAGCTTTATTTGACTGTTACAATGTACTTTCTTCAACTTGTTAGATTGCATTGGCGATACTTTCAAATGTACGAAGAGGAGTAAAAAGTGTTTACCAACTTCTAAGAGGTGTGATGGTAAAAGAGACTGTCAAAATGGTAGTGATGAACGAAAATGTAAGTTGTTATTTTATCCAACTAGCTAAATCTTTATTTGTGCATAAGAAAGTTAACAAAAAGAGCGAGTTCAACAGCATTTACTGTATCTATCAAACAAGTAAAACTTCATGCAGAATAAGAGAAACAATTTGACTACGATTTGAAAATCGAAAGAAGATATAAATTTAAAGTTACATCTTAATGTATTGTAATGTTGAAAACTAGGTGTTGATGGTAAGTGTTACGTTGATTTTTTTCTCTATGATTTAATTCATTACGTTTATACTACTCGAGACGATACATATATGCATATTGTATAGACACCCGTCTATTGTTGAATACTGTATGTTTCCCTCTAAATAAATTTTGGTTATTTTTGTCGTTAGATTGTTGTATACCAATATCTCCCAAAGAATGCTCTCAGTTACTTAAAGCAAACTCAAAGTTCTTCACATTCTGATATATAATCATTCCATACTATATATAGTAATATCTGATGCACAATCATGCCGTACTACATTGATATATCAATATATTTTATAGAAAATGTCATACATATGCGCACGAGTCTTGCTTCAAACTATCAATTTTCGAATCATTTCCCCCAAATATCAGGTAGAGTGATCAAAAAGCAACAGTATAATATTTCTTTTATAAATGAATCTATATAACAAAAAAAGAAAGACTTTTAGCACAATTACTTAACTTGTTAGCTATAAAAAAAACATATCAAAATAAGCTGAGTGTGAAATAAAGTAGTTTTTACATATCATATTCCTGCGGATGAAATTGTATTTTCACATTAAATATCTATATAAGTGAAAAAAAAACCCCAACTTTTCCCTTATTTACACACACACACAATGTTGTCTGTTAAATCAAGGTGAATGCAAATCCAACCAATTTGAATGTGCTGCCAGTAAGAAGTGTATATCTAAGTATTTACGCTGCAATCAGATACCAGATTGTCCTGATGAAAGTGATGAGAAAAACTGTAAGTTCTAAAACAATACGTTTGTTTACCTCCGATAATTTATTCCAAATAAAATATTCACTATACACTTTTAATTCTAAAGATCAATTGCAATGAAAGACATCTAACTGAAAACTATCTTTCAAATTACACTGTCGATTGCACACAACAATTTACCCAAGTTTTAACATATGACCTTCGATGTACACTAGTTTTATTCTTTGATACAACTCACTTTAACCAAATTTTAATAATCACACAGATTACTGTACTTTTGAACTCTACAACCGTCACCTAAAACATAGTTTTAAAGAACTTGAACTCACACCAAATCAGTTGTCACGAGTGGCGACAATGTTGAATGAGGATACCGGTCATCAACTAAACCTGAAGGGGATCATAAATGTGATATTTCCACAAAGTTTGAACTAAATCAGCTCTGACAAGATTTTATTTGAGTTTAGTCAATTTTTATTTTAAGACTTACTTGTTTGATGTTCTTATCAAAATAGGAAACATTTAATTTAAAGGTGAATGCCGAGCAGACGAGTTCCGTTGCAAAACCAGCACACTTTGCATACCCGAATCACAAAAGTGTAATGGAAAAAATGATTGTGCAGATGGTAGCGATGAGATTAACTGTAAGTTTCCATTTACCCATTTTGACACGCCACTAAAGGAAAGTAATTTGACACAATTGATAAATTTACCGAAAAAACCTGAACATATAATAAACTGTCGACAGGACAATTCAGCGCGATAATCATCCCATGTCATTTTGTAGACTGGATGAGCGATATTTGTAAAACGTGGTTTGGTATTAAGATATATCTGGACAATTGAAACCTAATTCTAAATTAAGGAACATTTTGAAATTTTTCATACAAACGTGGCGAAGTTCACTTTTAAACCTACTGTTACAATATAACTTGAAATGTCCAGAAAGTAAATTCACGGGTACCCGTTATATCTTTTTTATTCATGAAGTACTATCGTGTGGTATTTGTCTATGATAAAATTGTTAAACGTAGATCGATGCATATATAAATAAAAACAGAAGCAAATTAGAAATACTTCCATTGTTTTAGGTGATTGCAGATCCAATGAGTTTCAATGCGAAACGAGTAAAAGATGCATATTAGAAACGTTAAAGTGTGATCGGCAACAAAACTGTGATGATGGAAGTGATGAAAAAAATTGTAAGTAAATAACGGTTTTAAGACAATTTAAAAATCAAGTTGATGTTAGAAGAAATAAAACCTGTATGCATTTCTTCTCCCTTTTTGCGCTTATCTAAAAGATGTGAACGTATAGAAATGTATTTTTGTCTAGCAGGAATAGTGTAATTTTCCTCTGTAATTCACCTTACTTTCAGTCCATTTTCTTTAAGTCATTAAAAGGTTACTAAAATTCACAATATTTCAGCTTCATTTGTTTTCTGTAATTTTTTAACAGACTTTTGGCGACCAGAATAAAATAATGATTTATAAATGTCGGGAAATGGCTGGAGAAACTATTTGATATAGTTTTAAATTTTTCTACAACAAATAAATGAGAAGAGCAGTTTTAACCACTATAAAATTACTATTTATATACAGTGGGATTTTCTCGCTGTGTTGAAGATCCATTGGTGGCCTTGGGGTGTTTTCTGCTCTTTGGTCGGGTTGTTGTCTCTTTGACACATTCTCCATTTCCATTTTCAATTTTATTATAACAAAAAATATGAATTCATTTGCACAAGGCTTAAAACATGTATAATTTTAATGAAATTATAAATGTTTCCACCTAGTTTGACTTTAAGTTACCATTTTCTTCTTTAGTTTTCATTCATTGTCTGTTATTTTTTTTATTTTTTTAATTATTTGACAGTTAATTTAAATAAACAATAAAATGTTTGAAGGTGAATTTCAAGCAGATGAGTTCCACTGCGTCTGCAAACAGAATGCAGTGGACAAAACTGGCCCCATCCAAGAGAATCAAATGATCGCCCCCTAAATATTTAATTCGGTCTTCATAAGTGTGCTTGAGCGGATAACGTTCTTGTTAAAAGCTTTAACATTTTTGAAACGAGTAACAGATGCATATCAATAACGTTAAAGTGTAATCTGCAACAAAACTGTGACGATGGAAGTGATGAAAAAAATTGTAAGAGAATAACTGTTTTAAGACAGTTTAAAAATCAAGTTGTTGTAAGAAGCAATCAAAAATGTATGCATTTCTTCTCCCTTTGGCGATATTCTAAAAGATAAGAACGTATAGAAATGTAGTTTTGTCTAGCAGGAATAGTGTAATAGATATGACCAATTTCCACTGTAATTCAACCCACTTTCGGTCCATTTTCCTAAAGTAATTAAAGGTTTACTAAAATTCACAATATTTCAGCTTCATTTGTTTTCTGTAATGTTTTAACAAACTTTTGGCGACCAGAATAAAATAATGATTTATACAGGTTGCTTAATAGCTGAAGAAAATATTTGATATAGTTTTGAATTTCTCTACAACAAATTAATAAAATGAGCAATTATAACCACTATAAAATAACTATTTATATCCATTATAACAAAAAATATAAAATTCATTTGTATGTATGATTTTTATGAAATTATAAATGTTTCCACCAAGTTTTACTTTAAGTTACCATTTTATTTTTTACGTTTTCATTCATTGTCTGTTAATTTTTCAATTTTTTGAATTATTTGACAGTTAATTTAGTTAAACAATAAAATTCTTGAAGGTGAATTTCAAGCTGATGAGTTCTGCAAACAGAATACAAGAGACAGTTGTAAACAAAAGTGACTCCGGCCCAGAGAATGAAATGGTCGTCCCCTAAATATCTTAGGTGGTTTTCATAAGCGAGCTTGCGCGGCTAAAGGTTTTGTTAAAAGCATAAACAATTCATACACCATCGACTGTTTCAAAATGAAAATTGGTTGCAAAAAACCAAATTCCTCAGAAAACCTTGACCTATAATGAATTTGGTTATCATTTTATGTTCTTTTTGATGATATTGCTAGTCACATGTTTCAGTATTTATACATCACTGGCGTTTGAATATTTGGCATTGGTCGTTTTAGATGTAGGACTAAAATCCAGAAAAAAAAGCGTTTCGCACGAATAAATATTCAAAGTTTATTTTCATATCTTATTTGGTATTAACCGTAATGAAAGTAAAGTTTCATATCTCAATTATGAAACTGATGGAAATCTTATTTATTATTATATTGAAATGAATAAGTCGAGTAGAGTTGATATCAAGCAATAATTGATTCTCACAAGTTTTTGAACATTCTATTTTGGCAAGAAGTCTCTTTGAGTGGAATAACACGAAACATGAGTTGGTATAATTTACCTTCTTGCAACTTATGAATCTTCCTGTTACGTTACAAACACACATATGGGCTGCTTTATTTATTTCCTCGACTATTCTTTATAAACAAATTGCAGATGACATTGCGAATATTGGAAGTTACAAAATATCTAGCCACGTAGAAAAAGTAGTCCATAGTAACTTGCAAGTCATCAATTCCCCTTTTTACAATCAGGTGGTAAATAGTGATCGGGTCCTTCGTCCGATGTTCGTTCATCCAGTCCTCCATCCACCCAACTTGTATCTGCGACTGTTCCTTAAATGTTTTCAGAAGTTTGTAAACCTTTCACTCATTCTTACTCACGTGATGCTCTTGCGTACCTCCTATCTAATTTCTTCATCCAAGTGATTTTTGCGGAGTAGATAGGCATGATATGGACGCTGTCTTATGCAAACAAACGTACTCATGTGTATCCTTCTCATTATCAGAATTTAATAAAACTATCTCAGAACCTTACCCAATAGTGCCATTTGTGCACCTCTTATTTTGTTTTTTATCCAAATTGTTTTGAAGGTTTCCCATAACGAATAATTGACTTGCTATTGCTTTATTAGGGGTGTTCCAAGTATTTTGTTACCATAACTCATTCTTAATTTTTTTTTTGAATGAATTGATATATTTACATGTATGTTTACACAGTTTTTGGTGATGGATCCCAAGTGGGATCACGTTAAGCTATTACGTCTGTTTGGGTTGCTAACCAAATGTTGCCAATATAATGAAACTTTAAACAACTGTCATACAAGAAGGAGGTTTAGCTAGGTACATTGTAATATCGGTGGCTGTACTTCATACATCTACGTCATAAATAATAACGGAGCGCACGAGTCTCGCTTTAAACTATCAATTTTCGAATCATTTCCCCCAAATATCAGGTAGAGTGATCAAAAAGCAACAGTATAATAATTCTTTTATAAATGAATCAATATAGCCAAAAAAGAAAGACTTTTAGCACAATTCCTTAACTTATAAAAAAAACATATCAAAATAAGCTGAGTGTGAAATAAAGTAGTTTTTACATATCATATTCCTGCGGATGAAATTGTATTTTCACATTAAATATCTATATAAGTGAAAAAACCCCAACTTTTCCCTTATTTACACACACAAAATGTCTGTTAAATCAAGGTGAATGCAAAACCAACCAATTTGAATGTGCTGCCAGTAAGAAGTGTATATCTAAGTATTTACGCTGCAATCAGATACCAGATTGTCCTGATGAAAGTGATGAGAAAAACTGTTCTAAAACAATACGTTTGTTTACCTCCGATAAGTTATTCCAAAATAAAATATTCATGAACAACTTTTGATTCTAAAGATCAATTGCAATGAAAGAAATCTAACTGAAAACTATCTTTCAAATTACACCGTCCATTGCACACAACAATTTACCAGCCTTTTAACATTGAACCTTCCATGAACACTAGTTGTATCCTTTGATACAACTTACTTAAATCAAATTTGAATAATCACAAATATTACTGTACTTTTGAACTATAAAACCACCCCCTAAAACATAATTTTTATGTACTGAAACACACATCAAATCAGTAATATGCATCGAAAGATGAGCAATTAAATCTTGAAATCGCCAAATTGTCACGAGTGGCGACAATGTTGAATGAGGATACCGGTCATCAACTAAACCTGAAGGGGATCATAAATGTGACATTTCCACAAAGTTTGAACTAAATCAGCTCTGACAAGATTTTATCACAATAGGAAATATTTTTTTTAAAGGTGAATGCCGATCAGACGAGTTCCGTTGCAAAACCAGCACACTTTGCATACCCGAATCACAAAAGTGTAATGGAAAAAATGATTGTGCAGATGGTAGCGATGAGATTAACTGTAAGTTTCCATTTACCCATTTTGACACGCCGCTAAAGAAAAGTAATTTGACACAATTGATAAATTTACCGGAAAAACCTGAACATATTATAAACTGTAGACAGGACAATTTAGCGCGATAATCATCCCATGTCACTTTGTAGACTGGATGAGCGATATATGTAAAACGTGGTTCGGTATTAAGATATATCTTAATACTAAAATATATGATAAAAGAGATGATTTTTCATTTCCTATCGTTAATTATCCATTTTTAGATGGTGACGTTCCCTTGTCACCATCTTACGGTGTTTATATATCTCAACTTGTACGATTCGCTCGTGTATGTAACAATGTTTTAGATTTTAACGAGAGAAATTTATGTATTACTGAAAAATTATTACACCAGGGTTTTCGATATCACAAACTAGTCAAAACATTTACTAAATTTTATCATCGGTATAAGGACATCATTCGTAAATATAGCTCAACATGCAGACTTCTTATACGTTCAGGTATTTCACATCCAATTTTTTATGGAAATATTCTTTATAAAGCACAAAAATGTCAGTATTCACCTCTGAAGCTAACAAAACCTTTAACGAGACTTATTAAGAAGGGATATAGTTACGATACTGTTGTCAGGTCATTAAAGATTGCATATTTTGGCGTTAATATTGATTCACTTATAGGGTCTTTGCATCGGCACTAAACACATTTATTTAAAAACCAGTTGTTGGCATGACACGGGTTATGTTCTTCTCATATATGTTATGATGGTATGATACTAAACCCCTAACGGGAAGGATTGTGCCTGATATTCATATGATGAAGACATAATCTTTCAATCAGTTTAATTGAAGTCTGGAGCTGGCATGTCAGTTAACTGCTAGTAGTCTGTTGTTATTTGTGTATTATTGTCATTTTGTTTATTTTTTTTGGTTACATCTTCTGACATCAGACTCGGACTTCTCTTGAACTGAATTTTAATGTGCGTATTGTTATGCGTTTACTTTTCTACATTGGCTAGAGGTATAGGGGGAGGGTTGAGATCTCATAAACATGTTTAACCCCGCCGTATTTTTGCGCCTGTCCCAAGACAGGAGCCTCTAGCCTTTGTCAGTCTTGTATTATTTTTAATTTTAGTTTCTTGTGTACAATTTGGAGTTTAGTATGGCGTTCATTATCACTGAACTAGTATATATATTTGTTTAGGGGCCAGCTGAAGGACGCCTCCGGGTGCGGGAATTTCTCGCTGCATTGAAGACCTGTTGGTGACCTTCTGCTGTTGTCTGCTCTATGGTCGGGTTGTTGTCTCTTTGACACATTCCCCATTTCCATTCTCAATTTTATACTTGACAATTGAAACCTAGTTCTAAATTAAGGGCATACGATACAGTAGAGATCCCTCGTTGATTTTTTCTTGAAATTTTGGTAGAAGGTCAATTTCGATGTGTACTTTTGAAATATGCAAAGTAAAATATACCTTCATGACTTACTTTTTTGGATAATTTGGTTCGAAATTTGCATATTTGAAGGAAAAACCCTGAAATTTCATAAATAAGGACTTTTAAGGAAAGTACCAATACTTTTGAACCAACAGTCATAATTTAACCGGGTTTTTTGTAAAATGTTCCCTTGATCCATGGCATCAGCATGTTGTAACAAGTTAACGGTTGAAATAAATAATTATATCCTCAATTCTTTTAATACAAGTGAAATAAAGAAGTTGAAAATATTTTTGCGTCTACACAGAAGTGCAGAAAAAATTCTATCGTTGATTTTTTCTTAAAATTTTGGCGGAGCGTTCTTGAAACAGAACTTGATCGATTGCAAAAGAAAAAACTGGGGGTCCATGTGCTTGTTTTTTCAATAAAAGCAATAAACCTTTATTTTTATTGGCAAACGGGACGTTTGCCAATAAGGCGCCAAACTACGTTGGAATTATTCGCAACAACGTCGTGAAATCTTTCCCGCCGTTTACTATACTACGTTGTCAATTTCAGTGGTAGAGCCAAGGTGTTTTTTTTTAAACCAATGATATTAATAATGAAAATAAATAAAGCTGGCTCCTCGTAAAATAGCATCATATTTGCCAAACCTTTATGAATTTTTGTTACGAAACTTGGATAGAAAAAGTATTCTAGTAAATTACTTTTAGAAAAGAAATATTCGGAAACAAAACAAGATATATATAATAAAAAAATTAATTTGCAACTCTGTCCGACATTAGTCATACAATTCATGTAGACAACACAGCTTGAACATAGTTTTAATTATTCAAAAGGCCCCGACATGACAAAATGTGCAACAATTATAAAGTAAGGGGGATGATATAAAAAAAGAACATTTGGTATGGTTGTAAAAGAGACAACTATCAACCATAGTTCAAATGACGAAGATAAACGCTATTAAAGGTCACCCTACGGCCTTCAACACAAAAATAAAGAAAAGAAAAAGAAACACCGTATAGTCAGCTTAAAAAGGCCCCGACATGAAAATGTGAAATAATTCAAACAAGAAAACTAACGACCTACTCTAAAGGCATTACATGAACACAAAATCATACCCACATTAAATCGGTTCAGCTTATTCAATTAACTGAGTATAACATTTCATACAGTAGTTGATATTAGAGCATGAAATTTAATGATTCTGTATCAATAGATAAGTTACCTTAGCTATAGTGAGTGCAACCACATTGTTTGTCCGGTCCAACAAATATTTTGTTTCTTATCTGAGAAACTACTTTACAAAAAGACTTCGTATTTGGTAAGTAACTTAACATCAATGAGTTGCAACTCTGGTCTGTCAAATACCTTATTCCTGTGTGCCGATTTTTCTCTCTCAATATGTACATAGAGGAAATGCTTAGCACATCAACGGGTGCGTTTTTGTTTTTGGTCTATACTACGGGGCTTATAACTGAGTCATTTTAACTGACAATTCTTCTTCATACACTTATATATTCCACGGGTTAAATTCTAAAAATGCCGTTAAACTCTTTAATGTACCTTTTCAAAGTCAGGAACAGTAAGATGTGCTGTCATTATTTATTACGTTTTTTTTGTCATTTTGTTGATAGTCTCTGTTAAATTTATCCGTACAATTCTCATTACGATTTAGAGTTAGCAAAATGGTGAAGTTACTATATAAATTACTTATGTTTTTTTTTGTGTAGTTGGGTTTCTCTCTCATCGACGTCTTATGTTTTTCATATCTCTTATTCATTTCCTATATGAAATAACAGACATACAAAATTAAGAATGTGGATTTGATTTTTTTTCCATTCGAAGTTAATATTGTTGACTTCCTTATTATGAATAAATATAACAATTCTCGTGATTTGGCCGATTTTCATTGCAGGTACTTTTTTCAAATTCGCGCAATTGGGATTATGACGTCAGTGGATTTCCGCAAATGTGACTACATCTAAAGCGACGTCGCGAAATGTAATCGTTCTTATTAGAAACATCGCGAAATTACAACGTTCTGATTAACAACGTCGCGAAAACAACTCGAAAAGTTTTGAAAACGTTATTATCTGCCCCTGCTACTGTATCGTATGCCCTTAAGGAACATTTTGAAATTTTTCATACAAACGTGGCGAAGTTTACTTTTATACCTACTGTTACAATATAACTTGAAATGTCCAGAAAGTAAATTCACGGGTATCCGTTATATCTTTTTTATTCATGAAGTACTATCTTGTGGTATTTGTCTATGATAAAATTGTTAAACGTAGATCGATGCATATATAAATAAAAACAGAAGCAAATTAGAAATACTTCCATTGTTTTAGGTGGTTGCAGGTCCAATGAGTTTCAATGCGAAACGAGTAAAAGATGCATATCAGAAACGTTAAAGTGTGATCGGCAACAAAACTGTAATGATGGAAGTGATGAAAAAAATTGTAAGTAAATAACGGTTTTAAGACAATTTAAAAATCAAGTTAATGTACAAAGCAATCAAAAAATGTATGCATTTCTTCTCCCTTTTGCGCTTATCTAAAAGATGTGAACGTATAGAAATGTATTTTTGTCTAGCAGGAATAGTGTAATAGATATGACTAATTTTCCTCTGTAATTCACCCTACTTTCGGTCCATTTTCTTTAAGTCATTAAAAGTTTACTAAAATTCACAATATTTCAGCTTCATTTGTTTTCTGTAATGTTTTAACAAAACAAACTTTTGGCGACCAGAATAAAATAATGATTTATAAATGTCGGGAAATGGCTGGAGAAACTAATTGATATAGTTTTGAATTTATCTACAACAAATTAATAAGAACAGCAGTTTTAACCACTATAAAATAACTATTTATATACAGTGGGATTTTCTCGCTGTGTTGAAGACCCATTGGTGGCCTTGGGCTGTTTTATGCTCTTTGGTCGGGTTGTTGTCTCTTTGAAACATTCCCCATTTCCATTCTCAATTTTGTATAACAAAAAAGATAAATTCATTTGTACAAGGCTTAAAACATGTATAATTTTAATGAAATTATAAATGTTTCCACCAAGTTTGACTTTAAGTTAACATTTTTTCTTTAGTTTTCATTCATTGTCTGTTAATTTTTCAATTTTATTGAATTATTTGACAGTTAATATAAATAAACAATAAAATGTTTGAAGGTGAATGTCAAGCAGATGAGTTCCACTGCGTCTGCAAACAGAATGCAGTGGACGAAACTGGCCCCATCCCAGAGAATCAAATGATCGCCCCCCAAATATCTAATTCGGTCTTCATAAGTGTGCTTGAGCAGATAACATTCTTGTTAAAAGCTTTAACATTTTTGATACACCCTCGACTGTTTCAAAATGAAAATTGAGTACAAGTAACTTGCTCAAGAAACCTTGACCTATAATGAATTTGGCTATCATTTTAATGTTCTGTTTGATGATATTGCTTGTTACGTGTTTCCGTATCTATACATCACTGGCGTTTAGATATTTGGCTTTGGTCGTTCGAGATGTAGGACTACAGGTTGCACTTTGTAAATACAGCTGTTTCACAAGACACGCCTCTTTTGGGAAGATATATAATATTCATAGATATTTTGTTTTGTTTACGTACTGGTTCCCAGATATGATCTGTATGTAACATCTCATACAGAAATAACGTTGGAATGTTACCAGTATAAAAACACATGGTAGCGGTGAAAAATGAATTCTGAGGAATACCACAAGTGAAGGTAGGGATAGTACAGAATTAACAGTATAAGTTTAAATTCTTAGAAGTTCGGGGCATATAAATGTTAAAAATATGCCACACAGCCCTATGTTTTGACCTTTGAATAAAAAAGTAGTGCATATTAACTTTCCGTTCTAGGATATAATTTTTTACGAAACTTCATAGTGAAAATGGCACAGTTTTAGCCGCAAAGGGAGTTCCTATGGGAAATTGTAGTGTCTATATTTACTGAAGTGCAACCTACAATCCAGAACAAAAAGCGTTTTGGAGGCATACAATGTTTAAAGTTTATTTGCATATCTTATTTTGTATTAACCGTAATAATTCACATTTCACAATATAAAATTTTAATTATGAAAAAGATGGAATCCTTGTTTATTACTATATTGGAATGAACAAGTCGAGTTGAATTGGTATTAAGCAATAATTGATTCTCACAAGTTTTTTAACATTCTTTTTGGCAAGAAGTCTATTTGAGTGGAATAACACGAAACATGAGTTGGCACAATTTACCTTCTTGCAACTTATGACTCTTCCTCTTCCTGCCACGTTACAAACACGCGTATGTCCTGATCTATTTATTTCCTCGACTATTCTTTATTAAGCAATTGCAGATGACATTGTGGAAATCTGAAGTGACAAAATACCTAGCCACATAGAAAAAGTGGTCCATAGTAACTTGCAACTCATCCTTTTCCCCTATTTACAATCAGGTGGTAAATAGTGATCGGGTCCTACATCTGATGGTTGTTCATCCACACCTCCTGCCATCCATCTGCGAAAGCTCCTTAAATGTTTTTAGAATTTTTTGAGACTTTTTCAAAATCTTACTCACATGATGCTCTTGCGTACCTCATATCTAATTTCTTCATTCAAATGATTTTTGCGGCGTAGATAGGCATGATATGGACTTTGTCGTATCCACAAATGTTATTCATGTGTATCCTCCATCCCTTCCCATTATCATAATTTGATAAAAATATCTCAGAACCTTACCCAATAATACTATTAGTGCATCTCCTTTTTTGTTTATTACCCAAATTGTTTTGAATGTTTTCCATAACGAATAATGACTTGCCATTGCTTTATCAGGAGGTATTTTAAGTATTTTGTTACAATAACTCTTTCTTAAGTTCTTTTTTGTATAGAATGAATTGATATATTTACATGTATGTTTACACAGATTTGGCTGCTGGATCCAAATTATGGTTACATTAACATATTATGTCTGTTTGGGTTGCTAACCCAATTTTGCCAATAAAATGGAACTTTAAACAACTGTAATACAAAACCAGGTTTAACCCACGATTTCCTTAGGAACATGCCTGTACCAAGTCAGGAATATGACAGGTTTTTTACATGTTCCGGTGATTGATTTTGTTAGTTTTTATGGACTTCCTATTTTAGAATTTGCCTTGGAGTTCAGTATTTTTGTTATACTTTTTTGAAACTTTGAAGGCGAATCAATTACTTCGTAGTTGCTGTACGAAAATGAGGATATATCATGATGTTCGCCAGTACATCTAGAAGAAATTACGAACAGCCAATGAAAATATCGAAATTAGATGTCGCGTTGCAGGATTGCCCAACTCTCTAGATGTACTTTGCTCGCCAGTACATCTAGAGGAAATTACGAAAGCCAATGAAAAATATCGCAATTTGATGTCGAGTTGCAACCGATCGATTTATGTCATGCTCTAACATGATGTACAGTTCGGCATGGAAAATGTTAGAAATGATATTGACAGCTAATTCATTTCACAAAAGCAGAAGTCAGAAGATGCCTATTATTTCTAGTCACTAGAAATCTATAGCAGTTATATCGCCGGTATCAATGAAATACTATCTGATCTAGTGGATTTGTGTATGTTACCACAAGAAAAACATAGCATGCATACAGAATTACAAATGGATATGTGAAATCGATTCACAAAAGACCAGTTTTAGATTCAGAACAACGAAATATACAAGTATTATAAAAAATACTTTTGTGGTTTTTAGGTGGTTGTGCATCCAATGAGTTTCAATGCAAAACCAGTAGAAAATGTATACCTGCAACGTTAGAGTGTAATCGTAAACTAGACTGTCAGGATGAAAGTGATGAACAAAATTGTAAGTCAATACATATAACAGTTTTAGATTTATTTAGAATATAATATATGAAAAAAGTATCACAAAAAAACCCCGAACTTTAAGGCAAATTCCAAAAGGGGAAGTCCATACAAACTGACAAAATCAAACGCTATCAATCGAAGGAACAAGAGAAAAACAACTGCCATATTCGTGAAAGAAGCAACTAATTATGAAATGTTTTTGCATGCGGGACCTATTTTCTAAAAGTCCTTTAGAGTTTTATAAAGTTTCAGTACTATCACGACTATAGCTTCATGTGTGTGTGATTTATGTTTTTAACAATTTCAACGTGTTTTTAGACATCTAGATGATATAAAAATGTTCTTAATTAAGGCGACAGTAGTTTACTGATGTACAAATCTATTAGGAAGAGACAAACCAAATCAACAAACAAAAAACGAGAAAATCGCATGAACTCCAAAAGGAACAAGACCGAGTGCGTCGACAGGGCAAGCGTCTCCTGCTATTTAGCTAAAATAAATGCATACTAGTACATTTTTGATAAATATTGAGTATTAATCTATTAAAAATAAATGACCACTGTATACTAATAGTGGCATAAAAATAACACTTTATTTATTTGGAACGTTTGTAGCGTTTTCTTGTTTTTACCTTCACCAGGAAGGCTAAAAAAAATGTGGACACCATGGGGAAAGGCAACAGTAGTTTACTGATTTTGAGTTATAACAAATCCAATGAACTGCAAAAGGAGCAATACCGGATGCGTCGACAGGGCCAGCATCTCCTGATATGCATCACAGGCCTTTCGGATCCAAGCTCAGTCAAAATGTAACAATCGAGAAGAGGGGGTGCTCATATACCAAATCACGCTGTTATGTATTTTTTCCCACTTCCCACTTTTTTCCTTTTTTTTCCCCACAGATCGCATTTTCTTTACCGCTATATCCCACATCATCACTTTTTATCCCCTATATCGCACATCCCCGCTTTTAACATTACATAAATTCCTTTAAAATCCGGATAAATTAGGATATACCACTTTTTTAAAGAAAATTCAGCCTTTGAAATATTTAGATATAAGATATTTTTTCAGATTAAATGAAACTGTATTTAGTGGAGTATATTATTCAAGCATTATAGAAAGCAAAACAATTTGTATAACCCACGCTGTAAAGTTGTGTACGGTATAATGTTTTTGACCAATCCATCGGTCAGTCAGTCTGTCCGTCCGTCAGTCCTGTTCTTGTCATCGCAACTCCTCTGAAACCTTTCTAGGAGTTATGCCCCTTTGAAATTAGAATTTTTGGCCTACACTGATGCAACAGTTTGTCATCGCAGCTCCTCTGAAACCGCACAACAGAATTTCATGAAACATTTAGCTAATGAGGACATAATATGTAGATGTGAATGTCCACAGGAAAGTTTTATCAGTTGATTTTTAAGGAGTTATGAGTCTTTGAACTTAGGAATCTGGTGAGATTTTATTTGCCAAGAGACAATGTAAGGGCGTTTGGTATGTGAGCGTGCTCACAAAGGTTCTTTAATGAAAACAATTAATGAAAAAATTATTTTGTCTAAATTGAAGGCAATTGTGAGGTAGACGAGTTCCGTTGTACGACCAGTACAAAATGCATACCGCTAACACTGAAATGTAACGATAGAAGAGATTGTACAGATGGAAGCGACGAAAAAAATTGTAAGTTTTTACTGGAGATTATCGATACATGATACTTCAGACAATGAAATCCTCACTGAATGTTAAACATTAACTCGAGATACCACATCATATCATATATCGTTTGTTCCTAACAAGATCATCGACCTAATGATAGATTCCCCTGAAAAAAGACTTGCATTAATTGAAAGCAACTGGCTGGTAATGGAAAGACGATATAAAGACACATAATTATGAAATAAGAGAGGATAGATAATTGTTTTTTTTTTGTCATTTGTGATTCTGATATTATATTGAAAAGTACTTTTCTGATCTAATGTGCTGTACGATTTTTACGTTTTGTACGTTATGTTGCTCCGCTTGTCAGGATATAAAGACCGGATTGCGAACTCAAAGTTGGACTACGACAAATGTTAATATGCCTGTTGAAATTGAGAACATGATGAATGATTACTTTTTTAAAACTTCTTTTGTCATTTACGGAATTTGATGTTGGTGGCAAATGCATGAGAATAACGGCAAATATGTTTTTCATTTTTGACTTCCATCATGAAATTATTACACTAATAGCTCCGTAAGCAGTCTTGTACGGTCTAGATGTTTTCAAAGTTACAACAGTTTAGCCTGCGTATGGACGCCACGAAGAAGTAGAATTATACAAGTAGCTTATTTTACAACACTTTTTCTATAAGGGTAATTTTCAAAGTTTTTTTTCCATTTTCTTGTCTTTGAAAATTTAAAAAGGAGGAAAACCAGTACAATGCCAATGAAAAGACTAACAACCAAAGATCAAAAGACAAGGATCTAAACAGGTCACATACCACACAACCTTCAACTATAGGCAAAAACCCATACCGAATGATATGTGAAACAATTAAAAAAGGAAAGATATTGGCCTGAATTAAATTAATAACTGTAAAATAAATATATTTACATTACTACAGGATCTTGGCATTGGACTGGTTTATTGACAAGTATGTGGCGAGTTTCACATGTTTAATGCTTACTCAACAATAATTTAACTATGGAAAATGCTGAAACAGCGCAGCACTAAAATAAAGACAATGTGTAAGGACAATCAATGAAGATGTTAAAAAACATAAACATAAAGTTTAGGGGAAATACAACTCCCATCTTATAAAGAGAGTATATTTACCATATTCTTTCTTACCCACCTATGCCATACCGATAATTGGTAAAGAATGCTGCTTACAAGGACGCAAATGAACCAATTTAAGGGTAAGAACGGTAGAAATTAGATCGGCTCTGGTTTGTTCAATAATTGGTAGTACTTGCAAATTATTGCAGTTTAAATTTTTTGAAGAGATATCTTGAGGTCGGCTGAAAAGATGCGTACATAAACATTTTTGTAAAATGCATTTATAGCAACATTTCTTTTGGGTAAAACACTTGCTCATATATAAATCTATATATCAATGACAAGATATTAAAATGAGGTTAGTTATGCAATGTTTTTTGTTTTGCACTAAATGTTATTTTTTTGGTAGATTAATTATACTTTTTGATTTTCACACAATATGTAAAAATATTTAAATCTTATATTTACTAGGCCCGGAAGTGCAATGTGGTGTTTCACACGTTGTTCCACAATTATCAAATTGTCGACTAAGAATAGTTGGTGGATGCAAAGCTAAACCTCATAGTTGGCCTTGGGCAGTACAGTTACTCTTAAGATACGACAAAAATAGCAACTTCACTCATGAATGTGGTGGGGCTATACTTAATTCAAGATTCGTGATAACTGCTACCCACTGCTTTTTGAGGTAAGGAAAATATATTAGATTTATCAGTATAGGTAGAAATTTTTTTCTAGTGGCTACAGATTTTTTTTTTTTTTTGGTCATGCCATATCCAAATTGTGTAATATGCATAATTTCATATATTTTTAGTTTTGAATCTGGGACTTTGATTATTAGCTTGAAAACGAGTATATTTCTAAAACCATGAAAAATTTAATAAAAAAGAATTATTTTCAAAAACTTGTAACACAAATTTATATCATACTATTGAAAATAAGATATTCCATTTTTTTTTTACAAAAATCTGCATGTGTGTATCTTTTGAAACAAAAAAGTGAAGTTTGTCTGTCCAAAGGATAGACATGTCCAATAAACCGAAATTTAAAGTAAATGTATAAAATTTTGACCCCATTATCTCTTAATTTAGCACATGAAGGTATATTTTTATTACATATTTGAATTGACTAGTTGAAAAATAGAATTAGATAAAAAGAACATTATAAGGTGAAAAATGTGATTTATTTGAAAATTAATATTATTGAATAACATAATATTATTAATATTATCATTTGATGTGTAAAACAGAACGGCCAAGACGACAGTAACGTGTGTATAAGGATTTCACAGTTGACACAATTACCGTTTTTGTCCTATTAGAATCGAAATAATTCTTATTTCTTTAACTATCAAAAGCCACAGAAAGAGAAACCCGTGTAAACAATCATAAAACAATAATGCCTTAACCTAAAAGCATACCTTGCTATGTATGCGAAACCAGTCCAATTGACTATTGCTCAAAACTGAAAAACTATTTAAAATGTATTATTAGTATTTTTATTTTATTACTTATTAGTTTAAAATGAGTAAACACTATTAAAGCAATAGCATATTGTTTATTTGTTTTATTATTTGTTTTCAACCTACTCCATTACAAAGTAAAAGTTTATATTGCAGTGAAAATGACATAAAACAATGGCAAATAAGAGCAGGAAGTCATTATAAAGGCAGATCAGAAAGTAGTAATCAAATACGGTTGATTAAAAAGAAAACTCCTTTATTTAACCCAACGACAAACATTCTAGATCGAGATATAACAATTCTAGAAATTAATACTCCATTTGTCTTCAATACACATGTCCGTCCAGTGTGTTTACCAGAACGACATCCAAGAAAGGGAGACAAATGTGCCGTTGTTGGATGGGGCACAACGAAGGGTAATTTCATGAGTATTTTAAATAGACGTGGTTCGCAAATTTATAGATAGTTGTTGTAGTCACTTAGCCAAAATGAGTTTAGTTATATTGTCTTGCACTTATTGGGTCTGGTCGTTTTGAAGTGTAGATAAAAACGGCTTAAATTACTATTAAACATGAGAAATAGTCGGTGCTGAAATTATTGAACAAGTTATTTAAATAATATTGATTAAAAAAAAAAAAAAAAACAAAAAAAAAAACAACAATAAATACATATTTTGTAATGTTTGCGTGGAAAAAGATACATACCAGTATATCAAACTAAATTCGAATGTGCAGGGGAGATAATAGCTAGCGCATTTTTGTTATGTTTTCCGAAGTTTGACGTTCAAATAGATCTAAAACAACAAATAAATAGTTCTTTTGACGTTAACTTACATATCATATATTTAATTAGGACGTTACACAGGAGTGGTTACTATTATTTAATCTTGTTTTCTCAATAACTTATTCTGTAAATTGTACCAATATTTTTGTTTTTTCATTAGAAGTTTTGGTTGTTAGATATTTCAAATTTAAGATTACTACAAGATGAAAAGTACGACATTTTTTCATAATTAGTGGTATAATATGCTATTTTCTCTTATTGTGTCGATAAAGCTTTATAAAAACTAAGACTATCTAGTAAACGTAATTTGCCTGTGAATATTTCAAATATATCATAAAAAAAAACTTTATTTGGCGTGATTTATTAAAAACCTTCAACAAAATTGCCCGAGAGGAGAAATTTGCATTGCCAGTCATATATTTGAGAGCATAGAAATGGCCTTAGCAGTTCATCAGAAACTAAAGTCAGCCTTGTAAATATTAGCGTTGTAAAAGATAGGTGAAATATATCAAAGAAGGACGAAAGATACCAGAGGGACAGTCAAACGCATAGATCGAAATCAAACTGACAACGCCATGGCCAAAAATAAAAAGACAAACAGACAAATAATAGTACAGATGATACAACATAGAAAACTAAAGACTAAGCAACACGAACCCCACCAAAAACTTGGGGTGATCTCAGGTGCTCCGGAAGGGTAAGCAGATCCTGCTCCACATGTGGGAAGGGTATTGTAGTAACGACATAAGGAACATATCCGATATCATCTATGAAACGGTTATTCCTTAACGGTCAACCAACTCATGATGACGTCCGTAAAATTTTCGAAGGTATGATTTCAACTTCACCATTTGGAACTCTTGGTATAATAGCTTCCTTGTGAGCAGCATTCCTCTATCAAGAAAATCATGATAGGAAACACAAGCCCGGGAATATCGTATCAATTGGGAGATATATACTCCGTATGCAGGCGCTGCTGGAATGTTGCTACATGGAAATGAAATGTTCACAATTGGGAAGCTGAAATCATCTTTTTTGTCGTAAAGTTTTGTTTTCAACCGACCCTCATTGTCAATTTCTAGATGTAAGTCAAGATATGAGGCAGACTTAACTGTATCTGTATTATCCTTTATCTCTAGTTCGATGGGATAGATTCGTTCAACATAGTCACCAAATTTTGTATTATTTAGTGAGAGAACATCATCTATATAGCGGAACGTAAAGTTAAAGGATATTGCTAACTTCTTGTCTTTCTTCCTAAGAAGTTCCTGTATGAAGTCAGCCTCATAATGATAAAGAAACAAGTCGGCAAGAAGAGGGGTACAATTGGTGCCCATTGGAATTCCGACAGTCTGTTGAAAAACATGTCCTCCAAACGTAACAAACATGTTGTCAATCAAGAAATCAAGCATCTTGATAATGTCAGTTTCATAGAATTTTTTGTTTGAATCAGAGTGATTCTTTACAAAGTAGGATTTATCCCTCCCCAAAGGTATATTCAAATCATAAGTCTAAAACAAACTGACAATGATATGACAAAAGACGAAAAAGGACAAAATGATAAACAACAGTACACAAAACACGACATAGAAAACTTAAGACTGAGCAACACGAACCCTACCGAAAAGGTGCTGTGGTAGGGTTAGCTCCTTCTTCACATGCAACACCCGTCGTGTTACTCCTATAAAATACGTTGATAAGGTATTGTGATAAAAGGAAATTTAATGTAAAATTTATGAATAATGATAAAAAATAAAATTATACTTTAATGTCTTACGCTGCTGATTTTTTGTGTTACTGTCTTCAAGAAGAACTTCAAATATAGTTCCGTAAGAAAGTAGGTGACTACAAAACATGGACTTTTTCTTTCGTCCTTAATAAATCTTACACAAGTTAAGTGGGAACTAAAATGTTATTATATTAAATACGCTACAGTACAAAGCTAAAAATTGAAAATACATATTTCGTTTTTCGGTTTCAACAGGGACTGGTCATGATGACATTCTGAAACAGACCCCGATGCCAATAGAAGACACTCAAACCTGTAATAACACATCAAACTTGAAAGGAGATATAACAGACTATATGTTTTGTGGAGGTTTCAAAGAAGGCAAAAATGATGCCTGTCAGGTTACTTATCAGATAAAGATAATTATTTTTATAAACACTACACATTGGACCGAATTAAAATTGATCGCATTTGAAAAACAATTGCATTTTATAAAGATAAATAGAATACTATTTACGGCACCAACTACAAATGAGCATTTCGACAATTGGTATGTCCTCAGTAATGTTCGAGAATAAAAATTCCCAAATCCAATACCTAATACAAACTTTGAATTACTGATATACCGATAATTACCAAAAACTTACTGACAAACCGGAACTAAGAATAAGAGCTTCGCATGAAAGAGATACATTCCTTAATTTAACATGATTTTCTAAGAAGGTATTGGAATATTCAGTATAGAGTTTTATTGAAAAATGTAGCTAATATTTGTGAAAAACATCATTGAAGATACCAAGCCTGCAATTTAGTACGCTTCTCTCTCTACACAAGACTCATCAAAGAAATCAAAACAGATTGCAGGTTAACTCAATCACGAAGTTGGAGAGCATTAAGAAGCAAAAGTCTCTAAAAATTATGCAAAATCTTGCTAAGATGATTTATACCAAGGGGAAGAAGTGTTTCGAATGACACGACGAAACATCTCACTTCATATGCAAATACGTGTTTGCTTCGTTGCTCTTATCAGATTGATTTTATTTTTAAGGGAGACAGTGGTGGTCCATTAATGTGTCTAGATGGTGATAAGTATAGACTTCAGGGTATTGTTTCTTGGGGCATTGACTGTGCAAGTAAGTCTGTACAATTTGTGTCAGATGTATGAATTTTTTTTATCTAAACAGTTACCTGTGCATTTATAGAATTAAATAATACAGTTAATAATATTAAACAATGTTCAATAAACAAATATAGTTTATGTTGCATTTTCTAAACTCAACGAACATATTTTGATGAGAGAATGAAGATTCCAAGGGCGCAATGCGATACCTTGTTGACAAATGACAGACAACACCAGAACAAAATAAAAACGACGAACCAACGGCAAATCAGAAAATACTACACAGTAAAATAAATGTTTCTATATTCTAATCTTCTTCTAATCGTGAAAAACTGAATGCAATAATGGTACCTCTGTTGTATTTTTAAACTCTTATGGTATACAGTTGAATATAAAACAATGAAAAAGAATCTGCTCATAATAGTCAGGAAATATAAGGTTTAAAATATACTTGAACGTTTCCTATTTATCATGATTGAATATTTGCATAGATAACTTAAGCTAGATATTTGTAAATATAGATTTATGAACAACGAGGCAATTAACTATTAAACGCGAAAAGACCACTGTCATTAACTACGCGTAATTCCTTCAACAAATAGTTTAATAATCAAACTTAGTAGAACTTTGTTACTGTCAAGACAGACTCATATTGTTTTATCGAAAATACATAACAATTAATAAATGATTAAGGTTTTTTTCAGAACCAAATCTTCCTGGTGTATATGCAGATGTGTTCAAAGTTCTAGCGTGGATTAAGACAGTTATAGGGATGTAGTGAATAAATTTGTATAACATTTACTTTATGGCATTAAAATGACACATATACATTTGTAACTGGAAACCTATAGTGAATTGGCTTAGTAAAAAAAAACCTAGTTTTATCAGACATTTATTTATGTTATGAAAACATATGAAGTCGTTTTTGTTCAAAACTTTATATCTCAATGTCCACATGTTCGTATTGATATCGTTAACATAATGGCTAAAACGTTATTTTAATTCTCGAATTTTCAATAATTCTCTTGTCATTCGATATGCAGTTGAAACACTATCGTTAAATGTCGAAAAATACTTGTCTTAAGTCGATAGTTTAAAGAGTTTGTCTGACTACATGTAATGTACTGTTTTCGGTTTAAATTTGAAGTCAGAAGGCAACACTGAATAAGTTTATATAAAACAACATATGATAGCTGAAATATAATGAGTTCTTGTAGAAAAATAAAATCTACAATATGGTGTCATCATCCACACTCGTTTGTTACATGTACCAATCCATTCTATTTAATTATTGAAGATCTATTTTAATTAGTTCTTAAAAAATAAAAACAACACTTTATAGATTTATTGTGTCAGAAGCGCTTTTCTGGATATACCTTCATTTGGAACGCTCAAAGCCGAATAGTTGAAAGCCAAACATGTATAAGGACCGAAACAGTCGAAGAGCTATATAACAAAAACAAAAAAAATAATGAACCAAATCTATCTAAGGCCAACTTTTGCCTGAGGGAGTTTTAAACTTATTTTTTAATTTATATTAATAAATGGACAATTTTAGAAAAGTTTTTTATAAATCATGTCAGTAACGAGGTACTGAATACTGAGCTGATGATACCCTTGGGTCTGATAGTCCATCAGCAGCGGTATCGACCCAATGCTGTAAAAAGTGAAAACACCATTTTATAAATTTCATACAACAGAAGCGTTCTTCTGGTTAAAATGTGTATTAACTCATCATTTCTGATCATTTTAATATTTTTATGTAACCTTCTCTTAATCAATTGTTAAGTTTCAAATTCTTATTATAAATACACATTTAAAATATAAATCACAATGGAGTCATAACTATCAAATTCCAATACAAAAAAAAACCTGAACATAGTGTATGGCTTAACACGTTACCAAAAAAACTAAATAAAAACATTAAGTTTTAGCAAAACGAACCCAATCTATATTTGAAATAATAGTAGCAGTTCCGAGATGCCATACAGTTCCGATGTGACAGTTTTTCTCTTGGCGTGCTCTTTGTATTTAACAGCATTATGGATAACCTTTCCGGAGAAGACTTTTTTAATTGTATTCTGCACTCTGGTCGGGATGTTGTCTCTTTGGAAGAAGAACTTCAGGTTTCTGATGTAAGCAGTTTAAAAGTATGTCAGAAAATGCGTAAAGCGCGAGACAGATAAACCAAAATAGGACACTTTATATGAATGGATCAAAGATGTTCTGTCATACATTCAAAATTGCTTTCAATATCAACGAGACTGTGAATGCATATCCAAATAAGCCTTTATAGCTTGCTGTTTAGTGTGATCCAAGGCTCCGTGTTGAAGGACGTACTTTAACCTATAATTGTTTACTTTTTACTCATTGTGACTTGGATGGAGAGTTGTCTCACTGGCACTCATGCCACATCTTCTTATTTCTATGTTGTTGTTCGACAGAAAAAGCCTAAAGGATATTGTTTATATATACAAAATATTATAATTTTTATTGTCTAACTTAAAATCTTGAAATTCATAGCATAATTGGGAATTAAGTATACCCACATATCAATTAGAAAATGACAAATCCGTCCTTAACTCCTTTGGTATTGACATCTAACAGGCCGATGAAAATCTCCCGGTTTTATATTAGATATCTAACTTTGCAAAAATTGCAACAACAAAAAAGAGCGATATGTAGCCTGGAGGTGTTCGACTGAACATATTTCTAAGTTCTAACCAACATAATTTCATGTAGAGAAATATAGACTGCAAAAATATTGTTATGTGATGTATTTAACCAGTGGTGTCAATCAGATGTGGATTATAAAAAATGTAAAGATCTTCTCCAAAATTTTCGATTTCAATCTTGCTGTTATATCAAAATTTTAGATTTTTTACACTTTACAACACTATTCCTTATGCTCAGTTGAAACATCGACTTCATCGTCGCATTAAACATACAGTGTAGCTGTGTCTACAAAAATGGGAATCGTAGATACACTTACCTTTTTTAGGTAATGACTATCATTCTTTGTGTATAATAACACTGATTCCAACTATAATATTTAAAGCACCAATTTAACTGCAGCAGATACACATTTAAACAGTTAATGTATGTTCAGTGATGCTCGACATTTTTGATAATAATGAGGGATGGCTTCACAAATAATACATGACGGTCTTGAAATATAGATTCTAGATACTGACGTTGTTTATCATCGACATTATGCGTTATAGTGTTCTTTTTATTTGTCTTTCTATATTTTTAGCCTTTACTCTTTAGTCCATTTTCAGTAATATCCGTTTGACGTGGCTCGGTATTTATACATCCCGCCATTGTGTTATTGTGCTATGGTCATTTTTTGTTTTTGCTTATATGCTTTGTTTATAGAGAGTCAATATCCCATTTTGTTTGTATACGCCTGTTTTGAAAGACGGGACGTATTATGGTTTACCGTTGTCCGTTTGTCCGTCCATCGTAGACACTCCAGACAATAACTTAAAAACGCTTTCACCTATTTTCACGAAACCTTGGTGAATTGTTTCTATCTATTTACGTAAGCTCCCTTTCGATTTTTAAAAATTTCGGATTTTACATTTTGGAGTATTGTGACTTTATTCATAAAAAGATGGATTTTCCAGTTTTCAGACAATAATTCAAAAACGCTTTCAGCAGTTTTCATGAAACTTTGGTGACTTGTTTATATGTTTTGAAATGACTTGTTTATATGTATTGAAATAAGTTCCCTTTTGTATTTCATAAATTTCTGATAAGACATTGGGGAGTTATGGAACTTTATTCGTTAAAAAATCGTTGAAATCTGTTCATTTTTATTCGTTTTCGGCAGAAAGACGAGCAGCTAAAAGGGCGACTGGTGTATCATGTGCTCATTGCGCAGCTCTTTATACTTTGTTGAAATAGTTATTTATTTTTTATAGTGATTAAGATTATAGCAAAATGTTGACTGCTGTACCCCAATTTTTGACATTGTAAACATTATGTCTGTTTGGTTTGTTCACACATTGTTGTCAATATAATGGAATTTTATACGACTGTCATACAATTAAGAGGTTTACCTAGCTATAAAACCAAGTTTAATCCACTATTTTCTACATAAGGAAATGCCTGTACCAAGTCAGGAATATGACAGTTGTTTTCCATTCTTTTGATGTGTTTGATTTTGCCATTTGATAAAGGACTTTCCGTTTTAAATTTTCCTTGGAGTTCGGTAATTTTGTTATTTTACTTTTTTCCAATGGGAAATTGTTTTGTTCTCATTCTGGCGACTTGCTTTTGTACACACATGACACAGAATTCCCGCAAAACCTTCTCGAAGACGAAAAGCTTTTTTTATAATTTCATTTTCAGATATATTGATTGTGTACTGTCACTCAATAACTCACATTTCCAGAATCTATAACAAACAAAACAATTTTAATTTTGAAATTTTCAATTTCCCCGACCTTAGTAGCAATATACCAACTTCACCTGCATATGGGATATACATTTCCCAACTCATTTAGTATTCAATAGCTTGCAGCTGCTACTCAGACTTTATAAAACGTCACCAGTGTCTGAGCAGAAAGTTGATGAACCAGGATTATGTCAAAGAACGTCTCGTCTTTTTTCAAAAAAAGTTCATCGGAAGATACCAAGACCTTGTTGATAAATTGTTCGTATCAATTTCACAAATAATACATGATGGTCTTGAGGTATAGATTCTAGGTACTGACGTTGTTTTTCATCCTAATTAAGTGTTATACTTTGTAGTGTTCTTTTATTTGTCTTTGTAAATTATTAACCTTTACTGTTTGGTTCATTTTTGGTAATATCCTTTTGGCGTGGCTCGGTACTTATACATCCCGCCATTGTGTTATTGTGCTATGGTAATTTTTTTTGTATTCTTGTCTTTCATTTTTGCTTATGTGTTTTGTCTATATGTCATTTTGTTTTTCTTTGTTGAAATATTTCTTTGTTTTTATAGTGATTAAGACAATGTTGACTGCTGTACCCCTATTTTTGACATTTTTACCTATTATGTCTCTTTGTTGTGTTCACACATTTTTGTCAATATAATGGAATTTTATGGTACTGTCATACAAGTGAGAGGTTTAGCTAGCTATAAAACTAGGTTTAATCCACCATTTTCTACATAAGGAAATGCCTGTAGAAAGTCAGGAATATGACAGTTGTTTTCCATTCGTTTGATTTGTTTCAACTTTTAATTTTGCCATTTGACAAGGGACTTTCCGTTTTGAATTTTCCATGGAGTTCGGTATTTTTGTTATTTTACTTTTCAATGGATGATTGCATCTTAAATATCCTTGTGAATTTGAAATTATGGAAAATACATAAACAAGAAGGTATGCTTCATATTTTTATACTTTCCCTGATATTGACACAGATGGACGACTTCACACTAGAATCTGTAACAAATTTGATGATTTTAATTTTCTGATTGTTATTTCCCGTTTCTCAGAGCAGTAACTTCCAATCTGCCCCATCGTATGTACATATCTAAATTAAAACGTTACGTTCGTGCATGTTCACACTATACGGACTTCATTAACAGGAATGTTCTACTTACAATAAAGACAACTCCAACAGAGTTGTGATGAAGAACGAATGACATCGTCAGTGCATTAGTTTTACAGTCATCATTACAAATGTGCTCACCATTACGATGTGTATGTTTCTGAACTTAATAACGACATGCTTTTGTGGTCTTGGATCTTTAGATACAAAAGTAGTCGCCAGATCTGTAATTGTACAAAGTGTATAATATTCCCAGCTGTGATAATTTTCATGCATAGGAAACTCTTACCCTGTCAACGCATCAGGTCTTTCTCCTTTTTTGAGTTTACGTGAAACTTCCGTTTTTTGTAGTTTTGTATTTGTCTCTTCCTAATCGATTAATGAAGTTTGGACATCGACAATCTAATGTCGCCTATTTAGACACTATTTAAAAATGAAGGATCTTTTTTCGATATTCAAATTGATATCTAACTATTTAAAAGCAACATAATATATAGCTGCAGATAATATATATTTATTTCTTTCATGTCTTTTTTGGTTTTGTTGTGTTTTTTGGTTATACAAAATTAACATATCTCTGCATCTCGATTATTCATTCCCCAAATAAATAGCAAAAACTTTCGCAGGCAAGTGGCGTCTGTGTTACGATGACTCAAGGTGCTTGCTTACTCAAATTGTTTAACTGGTCCATATTTTTAATATACGATGATTAAGATTGGCCGAAAGAAAGAGCTTATTTAGAAGAAAACCTAATTGTTCTCCACAGGTAGGCAAAGATATAAGGGGAAAAAATGAAAGAGAGAGTTTGAGGAGAATTTTACTACCAAACAGCAAATCTGATTTTTTTTTATTGTTCAAAGAATGCCCATACAAATGACAAACCAACCTGCTCATTTAAAAAAATTCTTTGATTGCATT